AACAGAACAGAACAGAACAGAACAGAACAGAACAGAACAGAACAGAACAGAACAGAACAGAACAGAACAGAACAGAACAGAACAGAACAGAACAGAACAGAACAGAACAGAACAGAACAGAACAGAACAGAACAGAATTTAGACAATAACATTAATATGAACAGTAGGGCCTACATCGAATAACGATAACCATAATTTTCAAGGTATTGCACATAGGATTATAATAAATACTGAGAACGATGGAGCTTAATCTGCTGAAATATGATAGTTTGATACACTGTAATTGGTTTCTGGTGGGCAGGAAGAGGAAAAGCCATAAAACATGTCGGCCTATGTTGGAAAGAGTGTTTTAGAGGGCATCGGGGGTCCAGGATGAAGAAATACTCTCGATCGTTAAAGAACCAATAAAGGATTTCAAAAAAGGTTCGAAACAAAAGTCCCGAATATCCAAATATCAAAGAAAGAGGATAATACAGAACTTGGAGCAGTTAGTTCGGTTGTATCGATGCTTGTTCTGGCCAGCTCATTAGCATTAAAACAGTGCCCCGTTCTTTTGAGAAAGGAGATTGTTCAGCCCCCCAAATGGTGAGATTGTGTAAATCGTGGCCGGAATAAACTCCCTGGGCTTTTAAGCTTTCATATGAAAGCAGAATAGCTAAAAACTACGATTGAAAAATGGTCAAAAGTGCCCGCGAGGAAGTTAAGAGTTGCCACTTGAAAAATGGCTGCAATAATTAAAGATGTTACAAGTTAACCCACAAAAAAATTGAAAAGAAATTGGAAGATTAGGGACCAGACAATAATTTAACTTGTGTTTCAGAAATCTCAGGAATGTTGCTGTGCATGTTATTTGGCCCTGTTTACACTGTTTTCAAGTTTAATGGGGCTTGAAATGGTGGATTGTATCCTGATAGTGCGGCGGGAACCGTACTGACTGAAACTGATAGAATCCGCGGGGTATACAAAAATCCTCGGTTCGGTAGGCCGAAATAAGGATATTTGAAAAATGAAACTTAATGCTCATTCTGTCAAGCTGAAGGAAGTGGTGTTGGTTATTACGAATTTGCATGTTTAGCATCCCACTCTTCATTTTTTTTTGTTTGACACTGGCGTCCATAAACATGAAAAATTTGTGAGCGGGCTGGTAGTGGACATAAATATCACTTTAAGGGGTGTGCTGCACGCCTGCTATCCATTTTGTGGCGATGCATAGATATAAACCACGACCTCCGTGCAGTTTTGGTTACTTACGAAATATGAAAAAAATCACGGTAACGGGTGTGGGGGGGTTGAACAAAATAATAATAATCTCTCGGGTCAAACATTTTCAAATAGGCCTATGCCCCACACCTCCGGAATTTATGTCCTTTGGGTGAAGTTATCTCCTTTATATACTCCTCTAGCATTGTGTCAATCACTTTATTTTATTTCGGTTTTCTATAATGAATTTAAATGAAGTTGTAACTGTTTGTGATGTATCTGTCACGATGACATAGCAGATTCTACGGTGTCCTTGAGCACTGGGGTTTTGGGATCGAGGTTGGAGTTACACTATGATAATAAGCTTCAACCTTCTAAGCAGGGTAGTGTAGTGCACGTTGTTGCATTGTGCATATTGTACCAGAACTGTGTGACAGTTCATTCGTCGTCGGCTTGCACTGCACTGGGGTAATCCGAGTCAGGCCTTTGTCAACTTCACTGGTCAAGTAAACAAACCCAGCGGCAAAGTCCACAACAATGCCACAAAAGAAGAAATTGAATCAGATAAGGAAAGAGTCCACATACGTTCCACAACACGATGAGGACAACAGCATGTGCACGCCGTTACCAGCTACCAGTACCAGCAGTGAGCGTGCTGAGGCGGGCATGGCGGACGAGAAGGGTGAACGCACTGCCTGCGCCACTGGTGATGACTCCCACGGACTAACGCAGGAAGAGTACCCGGACGCTGAATCCAGCGATGGTGCTGAACCGGAGATCCAAATAAAAGCAGCGGATGCCACACGCAAGCATCCACTGTCGAGGGCCAATATCATCTCGAAAATATTCTTTTGGTAAGATCACTGGAAAAGAGCTCAAAAACATGACTCATGCGTACGGTACCTGTTTGCAAATGTACTAAGACACAACGTAGCCTAGGCTGCTCGGGTAGAATTGTTACGGACAAGGACGTGGCCCAAAAAAGGGGGGGCCAGGTTAGTGCACAACATGTATTGTATGAATTGGTTTGCCCTTTTCTGTTTCACACACCGTAAAAATTTACCAATAAAAAATAAATGTATATTATTATTATTGTATATGTATGATATTTTTATACAAATAAAAGGAATAAATGTCGACACAGGTATGTATTGATAGTTTGAGTGTCGGGACTGTATCATGCGTAATGTGTATGGGATATCTCCAGATGCAGTTTTCATTATAATTCGGAAAGAGTTCCATGAACGGACAACACTGTTTCCCTTAAATGTTATAACAGCCGTCAGCATGTGATAAAAACAATGAAAACATGGAATTTATCTAATAAAATTCAGAAGCATTGACTTACATGTAGAAAACACTTGTTTCCGACTTTTGTTTCAGACAAGCACAGGTCTGTGTACAGGGACACCAGGGCTTTTCACATTATGCGGAACATTTGTGATTCCCCCATTCCAACTCATTGGCAGTGCTAAATAACAGCCAGTCTTAAAAGTGAAAGGTTTTCAAGAAAAAACTAAATAGACATTTTGGTCTCTTTGAATGTTTATTCAGTTCTGGGGTCAGATCGTCTGAACAGTAATGAACTACAAGTAGCCACATACACATGTAGGCTGCTGGCATGTCAGGATGTTAGTCTAGATCTGACCATTGCAGGAAATTTCTTCCTGCATCCCACCAACTTTAAACACTTATCGGTTCTCTTGACTATATTTTCATACATGTATTTTTGTAGCATAGTTAACCTGCTAAGCAACTTTTCTTGCTGTATTTTATATGCAAGGCCGTGATGAAATCATGGACCCATAAAAATCCCTTCTCTCCATGATGTAACGTAATCACGATGTACTTGCACAATACATGTGTTGCATCATGCATGCAAAAAAATTGTTTAAGTGCGGCTGCAATGAAGTTTTCTTCAACACAGTTTTTCAGCATCTTTTTACTTTCTTCAGTGTATGCAAACTCTTCCACACTCCTATTTCATTTGGTTAAATACACTGAAAAGTGCACACTTTTAAACAATCAAATCATCCATGTTTTCCCGGACAACAGAGGGCGCTGTTGCTGTGAAGTCATCTAGGGAAGACATGGTTCAGTGCATAGGTATTTCTGTTCAAATTGTGAACCCAGAATTTATTAACTGATAACGTTTCTGAGAGAGGGATTGGTGGTTATTGATATGTACATTAATAACATTCAGCAAAGAAGAGAAAACTTAGTCTAGGAAAATCCACAAAAACACAGGATTTTTTTTTGTACAAACCAAAATAACATTGAGACTTCTTCCTGAGATGACATCACAGTTTTGTTATATGGAAGTATCATTAGCATAAAAATCATCAAGGCATTAAAACACCCTTTTAAATAGTGAAACCAAAAATGGAAATAGGTTTTACAGAGGCATAAAGGTACATTTTACAGGTTTATACAGTAGTCAAAAACATTGATTGCAGCTACCCTTTAAACTGGTCAAAACAGTGGTTCTAATCAGTGAAACAAGGAAGTACATGGAAGTGTGGTTAGTAAGTGTAGAGGAAAAGGCTCACGTGCTGCAGTCAGAGTAATGTAAGTCGGCGTCAATTCAAATAGTTGAATAATCGAAACTATAGAATGACTCTGTGCCAAATTCCCATAAAAGCAGTTCTAACCAAAAAAGAATGTTTGTCCCCTAGTTGAAGGATGGGACAGGACGTCATGCTGATGTTTGATCCTAATTGATGATTTTACTCCCCAAGTCTCAGCAAGATCACACACTACAAAAAGTCAGTCAATAAACCTGGTAGGGGAGTCGTATTTTGGACTGTATTTGTTTGGGACATGCACTTTTTCAGCTACCATGGATTCACTCCAGACATCTTGAAGTAGGCTTTTGGAATGCAGTTTTCTTTCCCCACAACCAAATTTCTCTCCCTTTCAAAGTCATTGATTTTAACCTCCAAATTGATTTCAAAAATGGGTTCAGCTCTAAGTTGGAAACACGACCAAGTCACAGTGGAGTGGCAATATTGAGGGACAGGTCTCAACAACTCATACCATCCACAGAAAACTAACACAGCAGAAAAAGTAATTCAAGCCCTGTAGGATAATTTCCCCCATCTACATGTACTTCAGGATAAATTTGTGAATGTTTTCACCAGCAGGCTTTGTCAGGGAAGATATTCTGGAAATTCAGTTGTCAAGAATAAAAGCTTAACCCCCACAAAATTGTATGTGTTCATGTATGTACATGTAGTATACAATTGAGACAATAGTGAAACAGTTTCATGCGAATAGTGTTACAGCCGGATAGTGTTACAGCCGGATCTTTACATGTGTAATTCTGAAGAAATCAATCTGCATTGCGCATTGTTTGGTAAGTGTACATGTGCGTACGTGACAGGTCGCAAAGTCACTAGTGCACATACATGTACATGTATATTACTCACTTTGCTGTAAGCCTTTAATTTGATGACATCATTTCCTTCAGTATTAAAGGCATGCTTTACTTCCTGAGCCAGGTTCTTGGGGGGGGAAAGTTCCCCACAGAGGACAACTGTCATCTTTTTTCTCGGGAAAATAAAGGACTTTTGAAAAAAAAAACCTGCATTAGTGGGGTATCCATTTGTTTCATGAACACTGCACCATGTTCATATTGGTTGGTCTTAGTACGTTGTGCATACATGTTCACATGCATTTGTCCTGTACACGTAACATGTCTGTAGAGTCCATGCAGTAATGCCTGAAGTCATTTCCTATCTGGAACTGTCTAATAAAAGCGGATGTTTTGGCTACTTTGGCTTCATAAAACCAAGCTTTACCTGTGTCCTAATCCTCTGAAGGATCCTTCATCAGTACTTGACATGCATGCCGCAAGGTTTGGGTGAAGGATTTAGCAGGACTGGGAAAGAGCGCGGCCTCGAACAAATACTTCACATGGGGCTTCGACGTTGCTTGAAAATTCTTTCACAAAGAGTGGAAAGTGGAGGATTGGGGATTGTGTTGACAGCATCCTGGCCAAAAAAGGAAAGGGACTTTTTTTTCTCGAGGGCTGGTAGTGTCATAGTACATGAACATGCTATTTTTTTTTTTGGACACTCAGACGCCATGTAAAAAGTTTTACCCCCTTTGAACTGTCCTCAGTCCTCCAAATTCCTCTGGTTGGAGAAATAATGATAATTATGTCAAGGCTGTGAGACCTTGTGTTGTTTTAAATGCTTAGCTATGTATAAATTTCTGCTTAGATTTTACGTGTATGTGAAATCCTCCCTACTGCCCCGGAATAGCATTTGCACTGCCTCAACATAATGAGAGCAAAATTTGCCTGTGTAATTTGCAGATAGATGTGAAAGACAGTTTAGAAAAAAGGGAAGCACATGTACACAAAATTGGAGATTTTGTACAATTTAACCCGGTGATCATGAATATTAATCCTCTCCTTGCCTTGCTACCATGTTTATTTATTTATTTATTTATTTATTTCTCTGCTGTTTTGAAATGTACTCTAGCTGGATGTTCAAGTTCTTCAGAGTGGGCTACAGAAAACCGCTTGAAGATGACGACTTGTATGACGTCCTACCCCAGGACTCCACCAGGGTGTTGGTGGAAGCGCTGGATAGGTATTTTAAATGTCAATGTCTCCAAAAATATATGTTTTCGGGGTTTTTGAAACACTTTTGGGGTATTACCAGGTTACGGGTAATTACCACTATTGCAGAAACATTGTTGCCGGCTTTGCACATCCTCAGAAGACAAGTTGGCCAAGCTACATCCCTTAATTTCGGGGATTTTTTTTTTGGGGGGGGGTTAATGAGACAAAAGTGAGGGTACTTCCAGTCCCCCAGTATATTTCTCATTTTCCCCTCTGCAGGGAATGGCAGCTGGAGCTTGAGAAGAACAAGAGGACGGGTGAGAGGCCGTCACTACGCCGCGCAATATGGAGAACATTTGGCTGGGGCTACATGGTGCTGGGCGTTCCTGCCTTCTTTGAGGTACAGCCCCCCATCTTTTCCATCTCTCCCCTCCCCCCCAAAAAACACTTCCTAACCAGTCGCAAACCACCGCCCGCGACGCCGGCCAAAACGTGCACGCTGTCGTCATTTTTTTGTTTTAAAGTAAGCACACCGAGTCTCAAAATGGTCGAATGAATTCCATCGAGTTGCAGTCCATCATGTTGAGTTAATCCTCACCCAAACAGTTAACAGCTGCTGGGAACCATTCAGCCTCGTCGCTGTCGAGCAGACATTATTCACAGGTGATTTGATGAGACATTACAGTAGCACTTGGCTACATGTACGCAGATTGACGAACACCTGTTCAGTGTTTCATGCAGCCTCTCTCTGCCATATTTCAGTGACGGCAAAAGACAAAAAAAAAACACGACTTGGACTGCAGTCAGCTCAAATGTATTGGAAAACAATACTAATTCATGCTCTATGTGTACATAAACAAGCGGCACAATTCTCTTTTTCTCCTTTACATGTAAAAGTAACCTTACCCACGGACCATTTACCCAGGGATGTGCAACCGCGACCGGCCCCAGTGCAAACACATGTGCGCCCTTGGTTCCATGCATGTTACGGATTGTTATTACCCCCGCAGGCACTCTCGACTTTCTCGAAAAAACTCACGACCACATGACGCGCGTTGCAGCATGTACAGTGCAGCCGTGGTTATGCCGAGACGACGGGCCGACGCGGTGCTTAAATCTATTCGTTTTGACAAAAAAGTCTTCTTCATTTATCAATTTCAAGGAGAAACAAAGTTTTAAAGAGGCAAAATTCCCCAATTTCGTGGTACACTTTTCTCAGAATGTATAGGATGAAATATCTTGAGCAGCATACTTTTAGAAAGCATTTACCCTGACTTAAAATATTACAAGAAAACAAAGTGGTAGACAGGAATATATGTTTTATTAATAGAGAAAGTGGTACATAATCCAATTTAATTTCTGCTTTTCTGGTCGTAACACGCACTGAACCAACTTTGAGCAAAGTTAAATGGTCCGTGTCTGACTGCACATGTACATTATGTACCCTGAAATTTATAAAGTTGCTGGTAAGTGGTATAAAAAAAAAATTAGTGTGGTATTGTCATACATGGAAGGTGACTGGCAGCCCTTGTAATAAAATTCTGAATGAAACTAGAGGCATGTTCGTCCTCTGGACGAACGCAGCTGTTTCGGCGTGTATTCTTCTCGATTCATTTTCCATCTAAATAATGGTGTTTCCATTTGATGTGAAATGTATTGAAATAAAGCTTTGAATAATGAGTCTGTAAGTGATGAGAGCTGTACATTGATAATGTTTTAAAGGAATCATCACACATACTGGTACATGTACATGTATGTAGTTCAAAGGATATTTTGCTTTGAAGAGTGCACCTTTAATGCCACATGACTTAACAGCTGATGATGTCATCATTTCGTGATTCCAATTTGCTTGTATAATGCTTCCCTTTGTAGTTGTCTTCAAAATTTCAACCCAGTGGGTCTTTAGGAAATATCAGGCCTTATACATGTCAAAGGATGTGCCTTCACTGTAAGAAAAATCCTGTTTGGAGCAGCGATATTGGTCTTTCTGTGCAAGGCCGATCGTGCATGTACAAAAAAAAGCCATTTCGGCATGTCTATGAAAATCGCGAAGTTACCAAAATGGTTGCTGGAAAACATGTACAGAGTCAATGGGCTAGAAACACACGCAGAAACACTACTTCTCTTCATGTCATCCGATTTGCTTTTAAACTGAAATTCTTTTTGAAATATTACTTGGTATTCTGACTCTAGGGTATATTTGAAATTGAATAACTTGGCAGAAAAATGCAATTTCTCCTTTCTTCTCATAGTTTCTCTTAAGCGGAAGTTAAGGACTACTGACTCATTATGATCAGTGAAAGTGTTTAGTAGAAAAACGTGTACAAAACCTGTGGACAAAAACGGCAGCTTTAATCTCATGTCACGTGACCCCTGATGTCATTTTGAGAATTTTGGTCCTGGGACCCTCTCTCCATGGTGGACTACGAATGTACATAAATGGAATAAGTTACACGTAGATTGACCTTTAATCTCATGTCACATGACCTCTTGATGATGTCATTTTGACAATTTTTGTCCTGGAACCCTCTCTCCATGGTGGACTACGAGTGTACATAAATGGAATAAGTTACACGTAGATTGACCAGAGTACCGAAGACTGGCTGTTAAAAAACGTGTACAAAACCTAAAGGGGAAAATTGAATATCCAGAAATAACTTTAAAAATAGGCGATGACATTATCATGAGGTCATAAATAAAGCAAAGTCTTTTGTTAGGGTCTTTGTTGACTGTAACTTTTACACCAACCAAAGATTTCACAGTTACCAAAATGGTGGCTTTAAAACGTGGACAAAGTCAATGGGCTGAAAGAAACCAGATGATGATGTCATCATGACATCATTCATTTGGAATAATTCTTGTATCAGGGTCTTTGTTGGCTATCACTTTGATGACGATCAAACATCTCTAAGTTACCAAAATGGTGGCTTGAAAACACGTACACTGTCAATGGGCTAAAAACACATGCAGAAAAACTGCTGCTTTAAGTTCATATCACATGATTTGCACTTAAACTAAAAGTTTTTTTGAAATATGACTTGATATTTTGACTCTTGGGGCATACACGTATTTCAAATTGAATAACAGGGATTAAAACGTACAATTTCTCTTTCGTTCTCATAGTGCTCTTGAGCCGAAATTGAGGAGTACTCGTTCATTAGTGTGTTGTAGAAAAACATGTCCAAACCCTATGGTCAAAAAGTAAATATTCAAAATTAAATCACGTGATGACATCATCATGACAAATGTGTTCTAGGACCACCCTTGGATGATTGACTGAAGGTCTGCCAAGTTTGAAGTCGATCAGATGTATGAAACTACCGAACTGTGGGACAAAAAGATGTGTACAAACTCTGGAGAAAGTCTGAGAATGGAAAAGAAAAAAAAATGCCATAAGGAAAGCAATGGCTTTTTCAGCTGCTGGCTGAAACAGAGATTCCTATCGGCCCTATTGATTTCTACTTTTCTTGCAGACTTGCCCTAAACAAATGTGACGCACCGGTAATAAAACAAAGATATATCATCTCAAAAAGAGGACACTTTTGTGGGTTTATCCTACTACTTTTTCTCTGCGAAACAAATAAAAACAATTACCAAAAAAAACTTTCTTTTTGTCTTACATGATGTTGTGGTTACAGGAGTGCGTCTTCAAAGTGGTGCAGCCGTTGGTGATGAGCTGCTTTCTTTTTGTCTTACATGTTGTGGTTACAGGAGTGCGTCTTCAAAGTGGTGCAGCCGTTGATGATGAGCTGCTTTCTTTTTGTCTTACATGTTGTGGTTACAGGAGTGCGTCTTCAAAGTGGTGCAGCCGTTGATGATGAGCCGTTTGGTCCTCTACTTCTCCACGGACCAGGTACCCACCGGCCAGGCCTACCTACTGGCTGCTGGCGTCTGCTTGGCCGCATCAATGACCATGGTGTGTCACCACGTGGCCTTCTTTGGCGTGGCACGCTACGGCATGCGGATCCGTGTGGCCTGCTCCGGCCTCATCTACAGGAAGGTGATGACTGCTCGGACTTGGTTATTACTGGTCAGGCAGCATTTGGCACTGTGCCAGGGTCCTGGCAAAAAATCCAGGGGCCTACAGTAAAATTCTAGGGTCTGCAAAGAGAGTGCTCCTCTCTTTGAATGCTCGAATCACCAGTACTCGTACATGGATGTGCTGATGATGAGCGCAGCTTAGCTTGAACATGCTTTTTTTTAATCAAATACTTGCACGTACCAGCATTGTGAAACGTGTGGTGATGCACGCATGCCAACGGGCAGTTTAATCCAGCCTTAAGGACTTCACTTAGGTTCTTTGTGGTCACACTGTGGTCGTGTGAAGTTGAGTGCTTCACAAGTACTCACAAGTATGTCACAAGTACCCGAGATTTAGTAACAGCCTCATGCTCCTAAGTTAATAACAAGACTTTGTTGTTCCTTTTTCTCACACTCTGAGTCGTGAAAGTACTTTTCATAGTATTTATGTGCTGTAATATTGATGTGAAGTACTAGAAAAAGTACTCAACTGCACCAAGAACTTCTGATAGTAGTATTTATGTACTGAAATAATGACCTGGAGTGTTAGAAAAGTACTCAACTCCTAGTACTTCTGACAGTGTTTGTGTACTGAAATAATTATTGTTGTTGAGTAACCAAACTTGGTTACAACACAAATATCACTTGGGTAATAAAGAAAGGTTTGTGGTACCATGTGGTATCAAGTGTTTGCCAGCAAGCAGCTGTTTTTAATACTGATCAAGAAGTTGACTGGGCGTGCTATAGTATTACTCATCTCCGTCAATCAATAATCAGACTAGGAACTGTATCGTCAAAGGGAGAGGCAAAATTTCCTCTCCCTAAAGGGCACCTACATGTATATTAGGAAAATCAACATGTTCCCGGAAACTTGGGCAATGGAGACAGAGTTCAGGGACGTCGAGACAGTTGCCAGCCCCCCCTGCCCCCTCCATGTTCCTCTGAACTTCCTGGCCTGATGACTCGTTATTTCCAGTCCTAGGATGCAAAAATGAATCAGAAACCGTAAAAAAGCTAACTTTTCTCAGGCCAAATGAGCGGCAATCACATGTTCATTGCTTGGTTGCAGGATAACATGGAACAGCTACATGTACATGTATGTGAGTCATTCTGTAAATTTGGGTCCATTTTTTTTCCCGTCCCTGTTAATCTGGCAGATGATTTTTTTTACTGTTTGGAATTCATTCTGTGATTTTCAAGATTGAATAAGTACGCGTACTGCCAGTTACCTGCCAAACTAATAAAAATAGTTTGAAATCAATTTCAGTGATAATGTGTACATGTAAGGTGTAACAGGAACAGAAAAAGTCACAAGCCAGACCTTAGATCCTTTCAAAGATGGTCTTTGCTGCAGGGATGTTTTTTTATTATTATTATTTATTTATTTACTTCTGGAAATGAGACCAAGGATTCCTCAAAAGCACCGTAGGCTCTGTAGCTCGCAAGCCTGAAAAAACCTGTAGAGAGGAGACAAAGAGAAGAAGTTACAGTTTTAGAGGTGGGAGGAAAACCCCAGAGGAATATTCTGGGTAAAACCCACGGAATTAGGTAGGGACTGAAAACCCAATCCATGTGTGGACCGAGCCGGGAATCGAACCCCGACCTCGGAGGGGGAAGGCGAGGCAACAACCACTACGCCAACCTGACACCCATTAATTGTGGGTTTTGCCCAGACACCAAAGCATATCCATAGCCCTGTATGGTAGTATCCATATAGTGATAACACTGAGTATACCGTGTTATGAGTATACGGTAACAACGTTGCCATGGTGAGCGTGTTTCTTGTGGCTATTTATTGTGAGCAGTACAGTATTTGAGGCCAACCCAGCCAAGACCATAATTAAAAGGAAAAAGGCTGAGTCCTTGTCATGTGTGTCTGCAAACACATATTCAAGAGCTCATTATCCAAGCATAGGCCCCGGTAGAGACCTGTCTTTACAATACTTGCTGCATGCCTACCTTTTCAGGCGTTACGGCTCAGCAACCTTGCTCTTGGAGAGACCACTATCGGCCAGCTAGTGAATATCTTGTCCAACGACGTCAACAGATTTGATCTGGTAAGAGGAGCGTTTCAGAAACTTGACTTGCCATCAGATTAATTGCTGCATTTTTCCCCGAAGTCCTTGAGACTGTTTTGGATGCGATAAATGAAGCTGCCATCATATTATTGAAACAAAAAATGCACATTGCAGTGATGATTATCGTAGTGGAATCCAGTCTGAGAAAATGCCATAGTTTTTCAAGCAGGAGATCATACAAAGACTTTGTACAATTGCCCCAAATCACTTTATCTTGAGATTTCGAGAGAGTGTTACATCCATACCTCACAACATTGAAATTGGAATGTACAGCAAAGCAAGAAAGAGAAACTACGTAGGCAAAGAACAAGCCAGAGAATGGGCCATTTTGTTGAAGGCCTTTGATGAAACAAAGTCAACTCTATTGGAAAAGTAAAATATGGCATTAAAACGAGAAGTTGTCTGATTGAACATAAAAGTAACCATTTCAATTTCCCGGACTGAAGACACTGTTGCTATACCTCGTGATGCGGTGCTAGAGTTGGCGTAGCGACCACCACCTCTGGAATGGACTGGTTTCTTTGTGCCCTTATTATCCATTGAAAACATGCATTGGTGCAAAGAAATGTCTTACGTAACTGAGCAAGCACTTGCCCCGAATCATGAGGTATAGCAACATGTGTCTTTAGAATGGAGCATTCCAATTGTTATGTTCACGTGAATTTAAAGAACTCAGTATACCAGATTCGCGCAAAAGGCTAATTAACCCTTGTAGGGCCAAATCGTTCAATTTCATTGAGATTTTCATACACAGCTAAAGTAAAGTTCATGTGCCAGAGAAAGAACTCATCTCTTTTCTCCCGCATTTAGGCGTTCATCTTCCTGCATTACCTCTGGATTGCTCCGATCCAGCTGATCCTGGTCACGGCACTCATCTGGCGGGAGATCGGCATCTCATGTCTGGCAGGCATGCCCATCCTGATTCTCCTGGCCCCACTGCAGGGCTACATGGCCAAGCTCTTCTCCAGGTTCAGGTGGGTGGGGAAGGTCCCTCGATGCCCATCTTGCCTGAAAATGTTGATGGAGTTTGCAGGGTCAGGGAAGGGATATCCCAACCACCGTTAACACTGTACATGGGGGCCAGATGTCTTTTGTAAGCTTTGAGGGAGAGGAATGTGCCCTTGCTTTTCCAGAAAAATTTGGAGTAGCATCTTGGAAAATGTCTTGAGTGTTGCACTAAAACTTTATTCTATTCTTTTTAGTGATCATTGAAAATACATCTTTTAAAGTTTGGCAAGATTTTTCAGAGTCGAGGAATGTTGAGCTCAGCCGTGGTGCTTCTCCTGGGTATAGTCCCTCTTGAAATTTAATGTATGGGCTGTTGGGTTTCCATACCGAAGAGGATTTCGGGAATCGTCAAGGAAGATGTATAACCACAATCTTTCAAGATCCTTTAAAATCCATGTAGATATTTTGTAGGATTTTTCAGGTTTACGGGAGGTCGGGTCGAGCCACCATTACGTTGCACAGGGCATGATGCTACTTGAGAAAGTTGGGGTAGAGAGAATCGGCTACTCTTTTGGAGGAGTCAGGAAAGATGGAATACGGAAAAGTGGGGGAGGTTCCTGCTTATAAAAAGCACATGGAAGTTAGGGTGTACGGAGCCATTACTCTGCAAAGAGACTACAGCGTTGGCCACTTGCAAGGAGGACAAGGTTCAGTCTTGTACTTTTAATACATGCAGTCTAGTGGAGAAAGTGTTGGGACTGCGTTTCATCAAAAGATGCCCCTAGGGCTCCCTTGACTTTGCTTTCCAATTTTGGTGCATTGCTCTTTCAGATCCAAGACGGCCTTACTGTCAGACGCCAGGATCCGCATCATGAACGAGGTGATAGCGGGGATGCGCGTCATCAAAATCTACGCCTGGGAGCCATCATTTGCGAAGCTGGTCTCCGAAGCTCGAAGGTCAGTAACTGCAAGGACCTAGTTTTACATTGCTATCTGGGCAAGCAAATGTTGCTCACAGTGTATCAACTTTGCGCCAAGCAAAACCCAGGTGATATTCTGCCATGTGATGTTTGTGCAGCGCATATGTGACCAGCAAACCGGATCTCACGTTACAAACAGTCTCTATGCGTTATATGGTACATTTCTCGGCTTAGCGAATTCACAAGCGATTCAAATGAACTGTGACAAAAGCATTCTTTTGTCATTGTTCATTAAGTTACTAATATAACTGGCCTTGTGAAATGACTTGTGATGAACTCGAATACAACCTTGTGTGATTCCACCTTAAAGGTCTTAACAATGCCGTGAAATCTGCAAACACTCTATGGAAGAAAAAAAATTAAAAACTTTTGAAAATCCAATTACAACTGACTCATTTTTAAAATCCAGGAAAAGACAAATGAGAACTAACCACTCTTGTTTTGTACAATTCATGACCTAACTTCAGTCACGATTCACGCTCCCAACAAATGGAGCAGATCGGTGCCGTATGATGCTTCACGTGTGATTTCAAACCCAAATGTCAGAATTACGAGGTGCATATTGTCAGACAGGTAGTAGGCCACTAATGAGGGTTTGATTCGGTCGAAAGAAGTTTTATTTCTACAGGGCAGGAACTTTGTTGTTGAAAGGACAAGCCAATTTCTCATTTGCAAAGGGCACGTGTATTAGAAAATCAACTTGTCTACGGGGACATTTCAATAAGCATTGAGGTAAAGACCAGGGGCATCCAGGCAATTGCCTCTGATGCCTCCGTGAAGTTCCTGCCCTGTATCTTCTACGTTGTGGTCTCCTGAACCATTGCTATTGAAGTGTACTTTTCGAGGCAGTGTCAGTGGCTGAAAATCCCCCCTTTGATCGAAGTCGTCCTGAAGCCGCGCTTTGTCTTCTGACAGGAAGGAGATCCGTAAGATCATGCACGCCGCCTACCTTCGCTCCTTCACCCTGGCGTTCTTCTTCGTGGCGCCCCTCCTCATCACCTTCTGCACCTTCCTGGTCTACTCGGCCCTGGGCAACGCCGTGGTGCCCTCCAAGGTGTACGCCGTCATCCCGCTCTTCTACGCCGCCCGGCTCTGCTCGGCCCTCTTCGTGCCCTTCGCCATCATGAACGGCACCGAGGGCCTCGTGTCAGTGCGGCGGATCAAAGTAAGGGCAGCCACCTGTTAAACACCCGTCGACTCCAGAACCAATTCACTGTGATCACCTTGTACATTCCCCACTCACCACAGCATGCCCTAAAATTCAGAAATGTTACGCAAAGAAGAGGTTGTGATGGTTTCATACCTTAACCAAACCCAGTAAATGAGGACCTCCCTCTACACCCCCTCGTTAAAGACAGCCAAGTCGCTCAGCCACAGATGTTAGACGCTTAGAAATGTACGAAGCAGCTAGGCAGCGTTTCCTGAGAAATGTGTTTCATCCGCAGCCTCAGCCAATACTGACGTGGTCCTAGTGTAGCCAACATCCTTCCTCCCACATTCTTGACATTTAATGAAGCCATGGGTGGGGCCAACGGGGGCCAAAGAAAGGACCCCCAAAAACTGTTCGTGGAAAATTAATGAGAGAAGGTCAAGTTTGTATTGGTGTGTTGCTTTTCTTCACCTTAAAGATAGCATATAAAAACCCCAACATGGAGCCTCACTCCACGGAAAGGTCATACAAAGTTATATAAAAACTTTTCAAAATTTGTTGGCCTCCTCAAAACCAGATTTCACTCTCCTCCCAAAAGAGAGTTGGTTCTTGATCCGTTCTTGAATGCAGATTAAATATGAAACAGTTGTGTAGATTTTATTTGGCTGGAGAAATTTGAGCAAGTGCCTTTGTGGTCTTGGGAAACTTTTTTTGAAATCTCTGATCAGGGGTTCTTCGTTCTGCTCACAGAATTTTTTGCTGATGGAAGAGTTGGGTGTTGGATACCACGATGACTGATGCCTCCACCCCCAGTGAGGTGCCCGACGGGATGGCCATACAACTGAACCATGTCGATGTAGCAGCGGACGATGACTGTGCCTCATTAGTGCCTGCAGAGGACAGTGACTGCCCGCAACAACAGACGGCCAGTACCGATCAGTCCGTGGAGTCGCCCACGCCCAGTACGGCCTTCCTGAACCACACTGGGGAAACTCTGGTGCAGGAAAATAAGACTCGCTTCCTCTTCGACTTAAACGCTGAAACACACACCTCAGGGATTTTAGTTGACAAGCTGAGAGGTTCCTGGACTAAGGTATTACAAACAGGAATTGAAAAGAAATAGAAAAATAGAAAATGTATTTATAAAATAGTCGGGGTTTATTGGTCTTGGAAACCTTTGACATTTTACAGTTTTGGGGTTGAAAAGTTGGTTGGAAAGGGAATTCGAAAGATAAAATTAAGATCTTTTTGCCCAAATAATTACAGGATATGAGTAATGCCGTTCTGGAAGGGATCAGTTTCCGTGTTGAACCCGGAGAGTTGCTGGCTGTCATAGGACCAGTGGGATGCGGCAAGGTAACGAGGCAGTGTTTCATTTAGTTATGGGCTTCATTGGTCGGGCATTGGAGGTGTATTTGAAGAAAAAGAGCCGAGTTGAATCAGACAGAGGAAAAAAGAAGCATACAATCACTCTGTGACACTCGTTATTAATAACAAATTTATTTCTAAGCTTTGAAGATATTGCTTTATAAATCTTCAAGGAAATGGTAGTACATCTAGCAAAGGTATTAAAATACTGGGTTTCAGTGATTGACTGAAACTCACGTTCCTTTTATGTCACTCAAACGGCAGGTTCGAAAATTGACATTTGATAGTCTTCATAAAATTTACAAGCCCCATTTCAGCATAAAAGGGTTCCCTTTCTGCATAAATCCCTAACATTCCATCTAAAATATTTGGTATGGTGGACATCTGGGGATAGATAGCCAAGATGGTTCAGAATTTGGGCTAAGAACAGACATATGGTTGTTTTTTAATCTTTATTGGGAGTGGACTGAGAGAGGCTTAATGACGTTGTGCTTGTAACTGCCAATGGTCTTCGTGAATTTGTGAGCCATTTCCCGATTTGTGATGGCCTTCTCTCCTCCAGTCTTCCCTGTTGATGGCCCTGCTGGGAGAGCTTCCGACCGTTGCAGGAGTCAATGCCGTGAGCGGTCGGGTTGGCTACACAGCTCAGCAACCCTGGATTCTGACTGGCTCACTCAGGGACAACATCCTCTTCGGGAGTGAGTACAAGCCAGCCAAGTACCGGCAAGTCATCCGGCAATGCGCACTCACCAGGGTAAGTTTAGTTCGGCTTGCAGTGCCTTGCAGCTGCTTAGGAACCAAAAGGAAGATGTGAGAAAGATGTGACCGGGTCTAAACAAAATGAGGCTTTTATTAAAAATAAGGCAGTGCTTTGGTTTTGGTTTTAGTGTACTAGGAGTTGCAAACAGCTCTTTAACTTGATGTTTCACGAATAGCTTTGCATCTTGGCAAAACTGGACGTTGTGTGAATGCAAAATCATGAGAGTTCCTATCAATGTACATCGTGTGCGGTTCTTGTTAGCTTCCAACTCAAAAATGGCTCCAGCGATTCCGATTCCTTTTGTCCAGTATTAACTTAAAACAACCCAGAAGTCAAGACACCACATTCTACCAGATACTTTGTGTCTTCCAAGTGCAAAAAGGCTTTTCTTGAGACTGCAGCAATCCTGGATACACCTCGTTACAGTTTTCACAGAGAGACAATTTCCTCATTGGATTGCAAAACATAGGTTTAGAGAAAATCGCATTTGAAGTTGGTCTCTTTTTCAAACGCTTAATTTCTTGGAATTTAGCGTTCCTTTAACTTCACCAATGCTACTCCATGAAAGAGGGGATGTTTTACATGACACAAAACTACAAAACTAATATTTCTAGAAGTTTATTAAAGTTGTTTGTTTTGTAAACAAACAAGATTGTCTGTTCATGAAATGCTTAAATTTGTGTGACTTTTGGTCTCTTTGTGAAAATGGCACACACATTACACACTTTTGCTGTAGCACGTGCCAGGTGCAACATTGTTACATTTGTATACATTTCTGGAGTCAAATTGTCTCTTCGTCTTTTTGCCAATGTTATATCCATGGAAGGCAAAATTGTCTCTTCGTGAAAACCCAAAATGCAGTTCAGTTGAATATTACCCCACAGACATCACCGTAATTTGGGTGATTTCAGTAGAATTGGTAAAAAATTATTACATTAAGTTGTAACTTGTAAGCATTGCATAGCTTAGTTGAGTTTGCAAAAAGCAGAAACTTGAAAAAATCATGATTTGGGGTCAGATTGTCTCTTCGTGAAAACTGTGATGACCTGTTTCGTCTCCATATTCGTAAAAGCAGCATCAACAGCAAGGATGTAAAAACATGTCTTCTTGGAGCTCGCTGTCCGCTATATATTCAGTCTCACCAAACGTTAAAAAAATTTTTTGTTGTTGCAGGATATTGAGCTGCTTTCCGACGGTGATCAGACGCTGGTTGGCGAGCGCGGGGTGACCCTCAGCGGAGGTCAGAGGGCAAGGGTCAGTCTGGCCCGGGCCGTGTACAGTGATGCTGATGTGTATCTGTTGGACGATCCCCTGAGCGCAGTGGATCCAGCAGTCGGGAGGCACCTCTTTAGCAAGTAAGTCTGTGTTGCTGTCTCATTCCGGACTGCTGTTACTTCAAGCAGCAGGCAGACAAAAGAGTAAACATTTAAGACAGTCATCGCTAACCTGTTTCAAGTTTAAAGTAGGTGCATGACATGTACAGCGTCACTTATGCCCTTGAAAGTGAACATCCTGAGCTTCTTTTTTTCAAATCTCATTATTTTTCCCCTCCAAAGGTGCATCTTGAACTATTTGAGCAGGAAGCCAAGAATCCTGGTGACTCACCAGCTGCAGTTCCTTGACAAGGCAGACAAGATACTTGTCCTTAAACAGGTAGAAGTTGCATGGTTCCTCATTTTTTTGTCGTCAAAAATTGGTGTAGGCAAATAACCTTTCCTTAGATCAGCCTTGGCCAATCTGTGATTTTCTTAGCTGAATTTTGATCCGTGATTTCACAGCCACCGGTCAATTTTCCAGAGTAACCGGTGAACAGGCTGTATCCTGAATACCAGGCAAATTCGACCGGTGGTAAGTTAAATGTCAGTGATCAAACTCTCATACTTTCTGTGTGCTTCGTTGCGGCTTGTGCAAAGGCTAATGAAGTTTTTCATTTTCTCGTTCTTGGATTACATTGTATTGCATGTCTCATCATTGTATTTGCTGATGCAGAAAAGTATTTGTCTCAGTGTCCATCTTTGGGAACTGTCCGAATTGTAGATGCGTTGCTTGCACATCTGTCGGAGTATAATAGCCTCGGCTGAAAACCCTACCCATGTCTATTGGGACATGCATAAAGACACTAGCTGGGGGGGGCTTGCCTAAGCAAACATGCGATTTCCAGCAGTAGCCACATATTTCAAACATGGTTCACCTCACAAGAGCCAGTTCAGGACACCTCATATCTGCGCACCATTCCATTATGCACTGAAGCCAATCTGGGGCGTTGAGACGAGTTCCTGCTTCGATTCCGCAAAAGCTGATCCCTGGCGAACTTTACCGTGCATGTTTAAATGTCCACTTTTTTGTTTACGTTCATTTTTCCGCCGTGCAAAGAGAGAAAAAATACTTAAAAGGTTCATCATACCTTGTACAATCATTTGAATGAACAGTTAGAGTTTAACTTAAGCGAACTGGTCACGGTCTGATTTGTTGGGTAATAATTCTGTCTGCAGGGCAAAGTAGCCGACTACGGAACGTACCAGCAGCTCCAGGAACAGGGCATAGACTTCTCAGCCCTTCTGAGGAAGAAATCAGAAGACAGGGACTACGACGAAGACGTGGAGGAAGAGATGCTCCCCCGGCTGGAGAGACAGCTCTCTGTCATGTCCAGGACCTCCCTCTGCTCCTCCATACCCGATTTTGATGTGAGTTCTGTCGTGAATTCTAGCAGATCTCTTCAGTCAGTCATCACTGAGGTCAAGCTGTGTCCAGAAAGAGGCATTGTGGTCTCTGTGGAAGTGTGCCATCCATCTCTAAATTCACTTTTATGCATATGCATTTATTATGGTTTGAGTGCAACTATTTTTCAACGGAATGTGCAAAAATCCAAGACACATCACACACTCAGTGGTTGACTGACACACCTGGCATACAGTGAACAGTGACTACTTTTAAACTGAATGTGAACAAATCCGGGACACAAGCCCTACTCGCAGTGGTCCAGTGACTCACCCGAGACTAGTAATTTTCAGCCGAATGTGCACAAATCCATGGGTCTTTTGGAATCGGATATTCTTTGAGCATGGGCATACGACTTCAAAGAATCAGTGATATTCAGTACTCAGCATTATGAGGGCATGGAATTTGTACTCTCCTTTTCCCGTCGTCTCTCTCAGACCTCTCAAACGACTTGTTTTCATTTGCAGATTGAGGAGCCCCCAAATGTCGTGCCCGAGGAGACAGCAGTCGGCACCGTAGGAGTTAGTGTTTACCTTAGGTACTTCAAGGCTGGTGCCAATGTGTTGCTCCTTCTTTTCTGGTTGATAATGGTCCTTGGTGCACAGGTACTAGACATGTGTGGTTGTTCCTTGCACTCTATGTATACTGTATATACACATATATATATTGAATAAGTACACCTTATGCACAGGAAGCCATGAAGCCTTGTTCCCTGAATCTCTTATTTTTATTGTTATTTGTTAAAATGGAATGGTGCTAGACTATGATGGGTTCCTAGACCCAACTTTTTTTTTTGATTTTTTTTTCAGTGTTTTCACAAATTTTGGATGAAAGATGAAGTTTTACATTCTCGCTGTTATTTTTATGTTTCAAAATCAAAAAGTTTTACGTCACTTTCAAATCAAGACGGCCAACACGACCAAATACAGTCTGTTGACATTAAAATTGAGTCTTACCCGGTGAAACACCCAGTTTTGGACATGAAAATGCTCTCTCATCCCCTCTCCTTAGAAGACAAAATAAAAAAAATGAGAAATACAAGAGTTGTTTTAAGTACCAAAGGCAGATAATAATTTGACATGGATGGCTTCCAAGCCTGAACTTTAAGCCTCGAATGTTTGTAGAAAAGATTGATAAATTGTCCATCTGTCTTTCAGGCTGTCTTTTCATTGAGTGAGTGGTGGCTATCACAGTGGGCGTACGCGGAGGAACAGAACCTGGCAGCACAGAATCTAACCAGTCAGGTCGGTTTGATCGATGAGTTTGTTAATCGAAAAAGTCAGGGAGGTTTTGATCGTTAAGTTTGTTAATCTAACCAGTCAGGTAGGTTTTGATCGTTAAGTTAGTTAATCTAACCAGTCAGGTAGGTTTTGATCGTTAAGTTAGTTAATCTAACCAGTCAGGTAGGTTTTGATCACTGAGTTTGTTAATCTAACCAGTCAGGTAGGATTTAATCACTGAGTTGATTATTTGGTTTGCTAATTTAATGAGGCAGGTAGGATAGAGTCAGTGTTCTGCTGATTTTCTCCATCCAGACCAGATTTTACGTAGTTTTGGATTTAAGGAACTGGTGTTAAAGGAATCAAATACTCAAAATTGGAAATTCTGTATTAATATGAAATCTTCGATAGCTTTTCATCCTCGATTTCTGTCATCAAGTAAGTACTTCTCGTTTGATATATTCCTCCCTCCTTTGAAAACTTCTGGCGATGCAGTATGACGACTCCTTTGTCCAGTTTGAGAATCGGACTTTCTACATCCAGCCCTACGCCATCATGTGCAGCGTCACGTTTGTGACATGCTTCATTCGGAGCTTCCTGTTCTTCCACATCTTTGTCACGGCCGCCAGCTGCCTCCACAACCAGATGTTCCGTTCCATCATCCGGGCGCCCATGCAGTTCTTCGACACCAATCCTGTCGGTAGGTTGCGCTCTTGACAAATTTTAGTTCCGGCTAAGTGCGTGTCCTTTTTGGACAAAACGCCCAGCGAACGGAATTTCTTTTCATATATACTTAACAAACCAAAGAATAAAAGCAGTTGTTGCCTAGCAGTTTCTCTTCAGCCTTTTGCCACAGTGAAACAAATCAACGGCTCTCTGTTTCAGGAAAATTTCCAGCAACTGGGATCAAAGCAGAGGATTAATACCATTGCTTTGAGCAAGATATGTGCAACTTTTTCAGTAAAACGTCGTTCAATTTTTGTCTCTCTTACTTCCCCTTAGGTCGCGTCCTGAATCGCTTTGCCAAGGACATCGGTTTCATGGACGAACTCCTGCCCGCAACATTCACCGACTTCCTTCAGGTAGGGCAGCCATCATCCAACTTCTGTCCCATGTTTCAAAAGGATGCTGTATTGTATAGTTGCCCATTTGTCTGACTTGAGTCCAAGTCTGTCTGCTTGTTGGTGCACATTTTCAGCAAACGTTTTTGTCCACGAACTCTTATTTCTTTACCCACAATCAAACACTCAGAATTCCCGTACTGATCTTGTCCAGTTTCAGTGGCGTAACGTCTACTGCGCCATGCCATTCTGGTCATGATGTAGAATGTTCCCCCTCCATTGCAAGTAAAATGGGGACCATTTGGACTGGGCAGCCAGCATGCACACAACAAAGACTGTATGTTCCAACAGAAATGCGGCGCAAGACACTTTAAGGAGGCACCAACCTTTTAACACGTTCACGTGGTGCTTCTCCACCATAGCGATGTTGCTGTTGTCTGAAAACCCATCTCTCGTTTCAATTTTTTGTTTTGCCTTAACTCTGATGCATGTTCATAACACTGTACGCTCTTTTTTTTCGGAGAGCTTACGAAAAAATACCCAAGCTAACTCAACTAGAACCCACAACCTCCTGCATACTAGTGGCGACCTCTTTCGACCACTGAGCTTGCCTGGGTCGATTGGCTGGTCCGAGTCAGAGAGAGCTGTGGATACCGCAGACAGTTTCAAAATGTGCTTTTGTGCATTGGGGAAATGTTTCTTTTTAATGTCACCCTATGTTCACACACAGAATGGACTTTCTCTTTGGACTTAATTGGTGCACTACTGTAACCACTGAAAGTCTTATCTTGATGTTCTGTTCCTTGTCTCTTCCCCCAGATAATGGTGCTGACCGTTTCCACGGTCATAGTGATCTCCGTCTTCAATCCCTTCTGTTTGACCTTCACGGTGCCCATTTTCATTGTCTTCATCTTCACCCGCCGGTACTACCTGGCTTCCTCACGGGCCGTCAAGAGGTTGGAAAGCAACGGTATGTGCAAAATCAGGTGGGAGAAGGTCCCAGCTTGGCCACGTGCTCTTACAGCACCACACACTCTGGCTGTGACCCCAAGGATGTTTTGAAACTGAAACCCCAAGTGTTGGAAACTACCACGGTGAAAATACCTGTTGGGATGCAGTTTGCTAAGGGGATTTGCCTTGCAGTAGAACGTGTTAAGTCAGATATCTATCCAGAAGCATGGAAAATTTTAAGCATTCTGGCTTGCTTCTGAATATACGTGACCCGTCACAAAAGTCGCATCCCACTCTTTCCCTGTGTTGAGGGTTCAAAGTCATATTGAAGTGGAGGTCAGTTTTGGGGTTTTGCAATATTTGGAAAGAGTAACCCGTCTCCTATTTATTTCCAAATATTCTGCAGAATCACATATGTAAAAATGTCACTTTCTCAGCAATTTTGATGATAGTATTATTCGTGCCTGGTCTGGCATGTTGAATAATGTTTGGAACAAAGACGCAAAGCTGCTAGAATAATGCCACATTGTCACCTTATACTTTTACCCTAAGTGTTCCATGTACATGCCATTGGAAAGCTCTCTTTCTGCTGAATTCAACAATTCCAATATCTCAGTTTTTGAAAATTCCAACTTTCAGCTCATTTTGTGGTGACAGGTCACATATACGTGCATTCAAGGGTTCAGCAGAGATCAAGGGAAGATGTAATAGACTGGATGCATGTGTCAGCCATCTTGATTCGGGAACTTGAGAGTAAAAACGACAATGAAATAAAAGTTCATACAAATTAGCGGCAGTTTTTGTTCAGAATAATTCAAACTTTGTAATAAATCATATCTAACTATTTAAAGCCACATTTGGAACTTAAGTAGTCTGGTACCACCCGAAAAACAGATTACACTGAGTATGATAGATTCGGGGAAGAAGATAAAAATGGCTTCCCTGTGAATTAGGTCTGTCACCCTCTGCACCAACTTGCAAGTAAATAATCTGGTTTGCACTATTCCACTGGAGTCAAAAAGATATAAAGGAATAAAAATCAAAGTTTGAAGGATTTTGTAGGATTAGGGAAACCATATTACAGCATGGAGGAGTAGATACCCTTTGGCAGATGAAAAGAACAAAGATTGTGCCATTGGTTTTGCACAGGGTGATGCTTTTTTTTTCAATTCTTGTAGCAAACTTTTTGAGAGAAATGTAGAGCCCAGCCATGTTTATTCTTACTTAGGGCTTGACAGAGGCTCCTGGAAAGTTCAGGTTCAAAGAATGTGTCATTGGTTTCCTGCAGAGAAGTGAATTTTTGAAGTCAGGAAGGTTCGTACCAATCATGCACCAAGAGAGCTTGAGTGTTAATCAGGGACAGTGATACAGTGGTATTTCTCATGTCTCATTCCAGCAAGGAGCCCCGTGTTCTCCCACCTGTCGGCCACTCTGAACGGACTCAGCACGGTCCGGGCATTCCGAGCCCAGCGACGTTTCACCACCGAGTTTGATGAGTACCAGGACAAGCACACCCGGGCCTGGTTCCTCTTCCTGGCCACATCCCGCTGGTTTGGGGTGCAGCTAGACAGCTTCAGCGTGCTCTTCATCTGTGGCGTCAGCTTCACCAGTGTCGTAGCCATAAACTGTGAGTCTCGTTTGTCTCATAAACTGAAATATCAAGCATCTTACAAAAGTACAAAATGGAAAAGTTCATGTTGGTTGAAGGTAAATCCGATGACTTGTTAGATTCGCCCCAAGAGACCTGTGAAATGCAGGACCAGGTCTCTAGGAGCTCAGTCATATTTATTGCAAAAAAGTGGAGAATATTTTGTAAGGAGTTGATGAGGCTTGAAGGGCAGCAGAACAATTTGACAGTGATCGACAGGACAAACTCTTTTGGCTTATCTCAGGCACATCATTCCTGGGTAAAGAGTGGTGTTAGGATATTGAAGTGTCTTACTGTGTTGATATTTCAAGTTACCTACTTACTTTCATCACAGAGTGCCAGTTTCAATCTCTGAAAGATTTCCGTACACTGACATCACATGACACCCAGCACAAACCCTATGAGACTCATCTGAAAAATCCTAATTATTTTCCAAGTATAAAATGCTTCGATATTTTCCCAGCCAAATTTGACATTTTTGGACTTGTTATTGCTTTCTGATATACCACTGTAGGGAGAAATGAGCGATATCTGTACGTGGAACTCTATCCTTAATCCCTTCTTTATCTTGGTTGTTTTGGTCGTGGGCAGATCTGGAGCTCAACTCAGGAATTGTGGGGCTGTCGCTGACCTACGCCATCAACTTGATGGGGGCTTTCCAGTGGGGGGTCAGGCAGAGCGCCGAGGTAGAGAACCAGGTCAGTTGTGAAAGTTTGCTGGCATCAAAATTCCCCGAGTGGAGCCATCATTTCAAATGAATTGTGTTACACTGCATTGTGAGATTACCAGAATTCATTAAAACCTAATGCTAGCGATGAGTTGACCTACCTGTTGTGGTCACTCGAATGAGTATTTTGGCGAACTTTTTTTTGCCATGTCTTAAACTGTGCCATTGTGGCCTCCAAATAATTAACTATTGTGGCAGCCACAGTAGCAGGATGTTATTTGATTGTCAGAAATGCAGCACAAAAAAACTTGTATACGAAAGAGAGGACATAAACTAAACATTGCCCATCTTTTTTTTGACGTCACATCTCACTTCGGCCAACTGAATGCCCTTTCAGCCATGGTCAAGTGCATTCCTTGATGATGAAGACTTACAAAATTTGGACATGACCATCTGTCCAGCTGATTGAAAAATTGATTTTGCATTGTCACAGATGACGTCAGTGGAGCGCGTCTGCCAGTATGTGGACGTCAAGTCAGAGGCTCCGTTGGAGACCGACCACAAGCCACCCTCCGATTGGCCAAAGTACGGACTCATCACGTTAGAGGGCACCTCGTTGAGCTACACAGAAGACGGCCCAGAAGTCCTCAAGAAGATATACTGCTGCTTCAGATCAAAAGAGAAGGTATTGATCTGGCAGACACGCAGCTGTGAATCGCAAGTGATGAGGGGAACTGTTTTTCCTCAAATATGCAGATTTGGAAAGGAGTTGGAGTTTTTTACTGCCGTAATACTACTTCCGATACGAACCTGAATGCAGCTCTGTCTCTAGTCCATAATTTTTTGGGGTATAAAAGATAGTATCACAGCATGGGTCCAAACAACTTGGCAGAGAGTGAAAGAAATACCTCAAACCCTTCAAAAATCGATGAAAAGCCAATACAGAGTATTGCTTTGTTGATCACAGACACTGTTTTCCTGCGTGAAGTTATCACTCGTTTCAGGGGAAACAGTTTGGGATTGTGTTTATTACGTAGTCTCAGATGTGGTGTATGGGTTTTGTTGTCGAAGGCAATAATTCCTGACTCAGCAAAGGAGCAGTTGTGCTGGTTTGTCCCATTGAAGTGATACAACTCTTCAGACCTACTGCCTCTGGTAAAATGACAGCGTCAAGAACACATTACACATGAGTTTGTGCTGCATCATTCCTGGCTCATAAGGGAACGTTGGTTGTTTTCAGGTGGGCATCGTGGGAAGGACGGGGGCTGGCAAGAGCTCCCTGATGACGGTGTTGATGCGACTGGCCGAACCAACAGGCACCATCATGATAGACGGTATCAACACGGCCCTGATCGGGCTGCACGACCTCCGCAAGAAGGTCTCCTTCATCCCACAGGTAATGCGGGGCGCAGTGTCCTGCTGAGTTGGAAAGGTTTAAAACAGTCCAGATGGGGGTTGGGGCATCATACCATGATCATAGCGTTATGAGAAGGCTACATATATTTACAGCCAGTTTCACTCTGTTGCCATGTCAACCATTGGTTGGTTTTCCCTGGTAACCTATGCACCAAACTATGTGGGGCACCAGGCAGTATCTGACAGATGGCCAATGGTCAGTGATTAGACGTTGCCCATGCTTGCATGTAATAAAGCTTTATAACGAGTAACTTGATACCAGTGCTCTCTCCAGTTTAGTGCGCATACTCTGAGCCCTGTATAACCCAAGAATATGCCTTCAGTAATTCTCCTTGAGTGCATACATAGCGCCCTCAGTAGTCGTTAGACAAAGCTAATAAACCTTTTGAGACGTTCTCTACCTCCCTGACCATATCAGTTGAATTTTCTGTAGTTACTGTTTTTTGGTCAACTCGATAAAAAACTTTATGTGGATTGGGTTCTTTGATTATCGTAGGATCCGGTTCTGTTCAGTGGTTCGTTACGCAGGAACCTTGATCCCTTCGACAACCACTCAGACATGGACATATGGAGAGCTCTAGAAGAGGTAAAGATTGCTTCAGTGGTCGAAAAAGTGAAGCCTAATGTTTCTGCTGTCTGCAGGAGTCAGGGTTGGAAGTGGTGTAATAAGAATGGAGCCTTATGAATTGAGCCTTGCATCAGGAGAAATATCAGTCCTCTTGGGAATCATATACAATATCAGCCTCTGCACAGAAACTGTTGTTTTCATTGTGAGGTGATTGAGTAACAAGCCCTGGTATTTCTGGCTGCCATTTGCCAGGTTTTCAGTGGATGGTCTCACCAGGTACCGGTTTAAAGGGGGAGAGGGTACTTCGGGATTCAACTTCCTGAAGGTTCTTGGGGAACGGGGCTGTTTTTGTCTTCCTTAAATTTGGGTTCCAGGGAGGGAAGCATGAGGAGAGATCTGTTTTGAGGAGAGGGATTTAAAGTTTCCGCTCCCCACCCCCCATACGCTATCACAGGCAGCATTTTCCACCTACACTGTTGACTTCAGGCCTTGGACTAATGACTGGTCTCATGGCATGTGAGGGTCTCATGACCTCTGGCCTTAGGCTTTTGATTGAGTGCCCTCAGGAGGAGAGGTTGATAGTGTACAATCAGCAACTTCCACAAGTAGAGTTTCAGTGGAGCCTTGTCCAATTTTTTTAGACTTTTAAGGAAGTTCCCTTCCACTTCTTTCAGCAAACAAATGCAAATTTTGTGATAGGCACCTCATCAAATTTCCTCTTGAGGTATTTTGGAGTTCAAACATCTGGAGCTCTTTCCTCACCTGCAGGTGGAGTTAAAGCCGGCGGTTGAGGAGCTTCCTGACAAGCTGGAGGCAGTCCTCACAGAGGGAGGCACCAACTTCAGTGTGGGTCAAAGACAGCTGCTGTGCCTGGCCAGGGCCATCCTGCGTAAGAACAAGATCCTGATAGTGGACGAGGCCACGGCCAACGTTGACGTCAGGTGAGCTCATCCCAGACTTCTCAGTAAAAGCCAAGTAGTCAGAGATGCACTCTGTCCAGATATTTTAAAGAAGTAAGGTGAAAATGCCAAGAACCACACAATATCGCCGTCAGATTGTGCCAATCCCTGGCTGTTTGAAGCAGCACCCCCACCTTTTCCTTGTAAGACAATGCAGCCTCCTGTACCTTGCTCTTCTGCTTTTCGAATCAACCTCAGTTGACAAACTGGAGAAAAATTCTTCCCACACCTGGTGCGCTTGCCATTTTGTGGCCCCATTCAAATCAGTCTAGTAAGAGGAGTCAGATGCAAGCAGGGTATTTAATTTCTGTGTCCTTGAATGTAGTAGCTTTTACCAACCTCACCCTGCATGAACTGGCCAACTGTCAATCTATTTGAGTTGCGTTCGAGGACTGCCAGTCATTGTTGGCAAGCTGAATTTGGAGGTCATTTTGTATGTTTCCATGTCATTTTTCAGGACGGATCGGTTAATCCAGGCAACTATCCGACAGAGATTCAAGCACTGCACGGTCCTAACCATAGCTCACCGCCTCAACACCATCATGGACTCCGACAGGGTCTTGGTAAGCGCGACAATAAAGCCGGAGGTTGAGTATGTCAGGCAGGACCAAAGGCTCAGTCTGGATCTGCTGTCTGGAGCTCGGTTTAGGTCTTCACTCCATTGGAAGTGAGCAGAGATGCACAGATAGTAGACCTACCCGTAAGCTCAAGAAGCCCGTTTCGGACATGGGTTTTGATTCTCCTGGTCCACAATGTTCTGGTCATTCATTTACTGTTGGAAATCATTGCATGCCACTGCCAAGGTGGGTTAGTGTTTGGCCTTTGACAAGCAGTCCCTTCAACAGTGCTGTTCGTATGCACCATCATCCCTGAACAACTGTAGGACAGTATGAACCTCCGAAGCAGTAAAGCCAAATGATGAGTTTGATACCACAGGTTTGTATACATTCTGGATAGCAGCCTGTTTTGGTTGAGTTTGTCATCTCTCATTTCCTTTTGCCAGGTGCTTGATGCAGGGCGGCTCATCGAGTTCGACGAGCCCTACATCCTACTCCAGAAGGAAGGCGGCGCCTTCACCGAAATGGTCAAGGAGATGGGCAAGGCCGAGATGGCCAAACTCCAGGAAGTTGCACGGGAGAAGTACCGTGAGCGGAACCCCTCCGATCCCTACGGCCTCTTCGACCCGGAGAGGAGGTCCACTTCACCGATAAGGCGCTACACCTCTCCTACAGGCCGACGGACTGTCAGCATTGAGACCTCTTTGTAAATATGAAGATGCCCTCACCCATGTCAGACAGAAAGGGTTCCTTGCCAAACCCAATAAATCGCTACATGGACAAAAGCCGGTAACATCAGCTGTGGCGTTTTCTCTGCAGATTTTGCAATACATGTACAACCTTCTCAGTCAGCCCTGGAAAGCCCGCATGGGTTTAACGTCTCTTAAAATGCCTTGTAAAGTGGTACCAGTGGAAGTGATGCAGAAACTGACCATCACAACTGTTCTGAGTGGGAAGTATCATTCTCCATAACAGACAAGATCTGGAGCAGCAGTGTATAGACTGAGGAAAAATTTGGGGGGGAGAGTGGGCACTTAGGGTGGCAGCACGTTTTCGAGATGCACTGAAATCAACTAAACTGTGGCGTGTGTGTCTAAGCTTGTTTATTTTAAGATTTAAAAGGGGGGGGGACACCAGAGAACATGGCAATCCCCTGGGAAAGGGGGGCTCCCCTCCCTTGTACATGTAATTATGCCAGTGGGCTGGAATACGGTTAGCCCCTTAAAGCTTTCGACATGTACATGCACAAGCATTTTAGGCAATCCTCGGACATTGCTTTGAAATGAATGGGTGGAGCTGTTCATAGCAAAATGACTGAAATGTTTTTCTGCCTTATAAAAAATATTTGTTTGGAAACACTTCGTTTCCAATGGACAATATCAAAATGTTATGCACGTCTGATAATAATGTACAAAAAAATAAACTTTATAAAGACCCTGTTACTGATGCATGTAAGGCATCATGATAGCGATTATTTCTTAACTTTGAGCCAGTATTTATTGTTTCAGCATGGAAAGAGTTTCGTTCGGCAAGTTACACGTTGTCACACATTTGCACACCAATTAAGCAGCCTGTGTACTGCACTGTACATGTACATGTCGCAGTTGGGCCTTGGACATTGATAGAATATGGAAAGACAATGAAAGTGGAAGTTTTTTTTTTCGTTTATTAGTTTGGAGGAAAGAAAACATGTACTGTACGTGTAATTTTATTTGAAGTTCTCTTTATTTAACAAGTCGGGCTTGGGAAAAGCTCCAAATATTCAAGCTTTTGTTAATTTAAGGCAGTTTGGCAGTGTTCTTTAAAGACACATTTGTACACAATGTACATGTACCATTTCAGTAAGCTAACAGTATGTTTATCTTTACTTTGATCAAGCCTCTTTTCTAGATTGATAACCAGTTTCAAAGTGGTTCCATAATGTTGAACATTCCCTCATATGCAGCTTAATGTTGTAACAAGTCTGATTTGTTCGAAAACATATATGTTTATATTATATATAAGTGAAAAACAGCTTATTACTGAAAGACCTGCCTGAAGGGCAAGTAAACTGCAGCTCATGTGTGATTTTGTTCAGTAGAGACTTGCCGCTTGCTTAGGTAGCATTTGCAACATTTGACCCCGCAGGACACTTCCGAATGAGGGTAGTTTTGCTTCATACATGTACCTGTGCATGAAAATAGTAACGACAAAATTACTAAGTAGTGACTGATGCATACATGTACCAGAGGTACTGCATATGTACGCCTAGCATCAAGTGGCAGGCTCCTCTTCACAACATACTGGTAGACTACCAAAGTGTGATATCCTTTTGACTGGGAATTGTAACACTAACAAAGGGAAGTCTGCGCACCTGTGGGTTCACGCACTGGTTCTCACATTTATGTCTCTCGATACACATAACTGTGCACAACCCAAAGGCTTCACTTCGGGACTCTGTGTATAGCCATTTTAATCTTGAACACGTTGAAGGGTCCATGCCATGATTTTTTTCAGAAACCCAATTTTTTGCATCTTTGTTCTTCTTTCAAACGGATGACGACTTCAGTTTTTGGAGTTGAGTGTACCAACGAGTATACTTTTCAGAAACATTAAAAAATGTCCAAGGTGCTGGTATTCCGAACACAAGGATGCCACTGCAGTTCAGGGTAGACACTACTCAGATTTTCATGTGCAATGCTCTCTAAAAACATATCCAACAAAAGGTTGCACGCCAGCTTGCCGGTTGCCTGATACTTGCAGAACAATACATTGCCAAAGAAATGGCAATATTAAAACCAAAAACCCAAAAATAAATCCAGCAGTGTTTCTGCACGGATAAATGTCACATTAAGAATCAGTGCCTGGGATTGACATCACAGTTCTGGCATGAATATGCAAATCTGCATTAACATAAAACCAAACAGGCTGTAAAATACAGATCAAAAGAGCAAACCAATTAATGATTGACTAAAACACCAAGGTGCAATTCCAAGGTTTTTTTAAAAAATGATTGAAGCGCATTACCCTTTCTAAAGGACCATTTTTTTTGGGGGGGGGGGGGTCGGGGGCCTTGTTTTACATCTTCATTGCCCAAAATCTCGGCTGTTAAATAACCTTTGCAACTAGAATTCGGGTGATAAACATCTGAGCACATCTGTAAAGTTTCAGTTCCAATCAGCAGAAGGCTTTTTAGCCAGTGTCATTTCTTATGCACTGTCAAAAAATAGTATGGTGCCACTGCCGAAGAAACGCACGGCCCTTGTAAGGATCAAGCCAATTTCCACTGGTATACCGATATGATTTCCGATACATCGGCCACAAACACCAAATTGACACTCCCTACTGAGGTCGAGGGTGCAAGCCAGTTTATCTTGTCTTTGTGCTTCATGGACAATGTTGCTTTCTTCTTCTTGAGGGCTGACGAGCATGCGCCTTGGTTCCTCTTGTCAGATTCTCTCTCTCTTCCTGATCCAGAAGACTGATATGCAGGTGGAATCTTGCTTTTTGTAGAAGTAAGGTCTATGGTCTCCAATTTGTCGGCTGACGTGATGGATGGGGAGTTTTCCGGTAGGAAGCTATCCTCAGAGGTGATGTTCGCTGTTTCCCACAGCATCATTCTGCAGTCATTCCCTGCCGTCAGCAGCAAGTCCTGCGTCCGCCCCGGGTGATTGGGAACGAACGCGACCTGCGTCACGCCACGCGTGTGCCCCTCCAGGCTTGCCCCTGGCCAGAGGTCCCGCCTCCCTCCCCTCCCCAGCAGCTGGACCCGGGCGCTCTCCAGGCCGCATGCCAGGACATCGCCAGCCGGGGAGAAGTCCAATGAGTGGACAAACGGGGGGTTGACCATGTACGGACTGGGCATGAGCTCATCCTCCATCCCCGCTGCTGTCACCTCCCTCATGTTTACTGACGTCCTGGGGCTCGCCCGCGTTGTTTCCCACAAGTGCACCACACAATCCAGACCTCCCGAGGCAATCTCCCTTGGGACGGTGGGATGATAACGCACGCTGGAGCAAATGGCACTGTGGCCTTTTAGCGTCCTTAAGACCTTGTGGCTTCGAAGGTCAATAACTTTTATCAATCCATCATCGTCACAAGCTGCAAGGAAGCCATCTTTGGGGTCAACAGTGATTTGGTTGACGTCCTCATTGTGGAAAGCAAAAGTGGCCTGACTGCATTCGGGGCTGCGTATGTCCAACAGTTCAATAACCTCCCCAGCCGACACGTAAACAACCGAGCCTTGCTGCGGAGGGAAACAGACACTGTTGACATCGGCCCTGGAGGGGAAGCTTTTCTGGGAGACAATTTCTCCGTCGGGGCTCCAGAAACAGACCTCACCGCCTTCCCCTCCAGATGCAACCTGTCCACCTGCGTTTACACCCAGGCACAACACCATCTGGCTATGGCCACCAGTCAACACTGTGTTCAGCTCCATGGCAGTATCACTAAAGGCCGCCAAACCTCGTGCCGCTCATATACCTACATGTACATGTAGAAGTGCCAAACACAGGCATGTGCATACTGAGCAACACTCATGGTGTCTGCAAACGGAAGAAATAGTGTGAAAACATCAAGTGTTTGACCAGCCACAGTTTGCATGATTTATGACATGCCCTTTCTGTTCAGCAAACTGAGTCCAGTCAATGACAGTAATTAGCTCTACTGAGTGGAGCGTTAGTATTCCTCTTTTGTGATTTTGGATGGGATCGTCACCCTAACACTCCAGACCCGTACAGTAAGGTGAAAGCGGTTCTCAAAAATTCAAAAGACTCACCAAACCTCTTTCACCACCTCCTGGCTTCCATAAATGCCCACGTCAAACGTTTGGGGCTTCAATAATATTTCTGACTTCAAAATCTGTCAAAATCCAACTGTTTTCGCTCGACACACGCACATCACTTAAACTTTCGCCGCTGCCTCCCATTCAAATACGGCATATAGAGTTTTTAGCACAATAACTTATAAGTCTATGGACGAACATGGTCCTCCAAGACGTACACATGAAAGGGCTTTATGTGGTCTGGATACAAGACTTGTTGATCATGGCATTTGGGTGTGCTACCAAGGACTGTTTCCTGGTCAATACGTCTTGTCCCCTGACTACATATGGGCCTCTCCAGCAGTTTCCTTGGAGGGCCATGTTCGTCCATGGACTTATTGCACCAGAAACTCCACATGAGGAACCCTAACGCTCCACTCGGTAGAGCTAGCCTGTATATACCCAGCATAGCAAGAAATGAGACCGAAGGGTACCCCCCAGCATGTCCAATCCCTATACACATTCCAGACTATTGTTATTNCGAGCCTGTAATAATACTGAATAAGCCTATGTCATGTTAGCCCCACTAATGTGGCACGGACTCTCACTCCCGAAGGATGGATCGGGAGTGAGAGTCCGTGCCACACTAGTGGGGCTAATGTCATGTCACCTGCCCTGTGAAAATGGGTATAAATTTGCCTGGTGTGAACATGTTGGCCCTTTGCCACGTTTGCCAACAATATCATGCAGGGTGGTGCATTACATGTATAGGCCTATATCATGTCTGCATGTAGGGCCTACTAGTAGTACATGTAGTAGTTCTCTGATGTACTTGTGTGGCGTCACAACAAGCTGACCATGAATACGCCAGAATACATTATGGAATAGGCCAGAATGCCAGGATGTACATGTACCTCTAAACAACATGTCGAAACAAAGACGCGCTGTCCACAAGCACTGTAGGACCATGGAGGTGATTCTACCTCCATGGTAGGACTATGAGACTGGTCTGGAAAATTCTGAGTCTGACGTTAGCATTGCTAGGGGCTCGTGTTTTCATTTTAAAACATCAATATTTTACATGTACCTACCCCTAGAACGGTGGGGTCCAACGTCCGCTCCCACGTGGGAGCGGACCCCACAGTTCTGGTGGTATTTTCCCTGCTATAAAGTAGGCCTATTGACAGCCTATCATACTTACAGCCTTACCAAGTTCACATCCATTCCAACTTACAGGCCAAGTCAAAACAAACAACGGCGATTGAAAGCAAAGATAGAGTGGCATAGGGCCGACGTTTCGCCAGTTACATTTTTACATGTACTGTACGTCTGCATTTACATGTATATGTAGAGTGTACATGTACATTGGATCAAAGCTTGCAGCACAATAAGTCAGGGTCTTAAGACCAATTTTGTAGGTCATCAGACTAAATAGGTGCCTAGACTTGCGTCGTGTCGTCAGATGCAGTTCGTGTGACATTTTGCCAATCAATCCCAATAAATCTCAAAGTACATGTATTCAGGCTTGTTGCCAGTTTTCTTGCTCTGTTAATCGATAGCCCACGGATAAAATGTTCCCTTGCTTAGTTTGTACACTTTCGATCAACGACTCGTCCTGGTTTATTTTGTCGAATACTGGTGCATGATAGCGAATTAAAACATTTGTGTAAAATGACATGTGCCTCGAATGCCACTCTAATAAATTCTCGAATTCTTTTGCCTCATAACACGTGATGAATCCCAAATTTTCAGTGAAACTGATTTTGTTACTTTTAAAGTCTTCTTTGGTGATCGTTTGAAGACTCTGCTACAGGCCTTAAAAGGCCCGAAATGCATTCTGCCCAAGTGTCGTGTAAGCCGGGAACTTCCAGTCGTCACTGTGTCATCATGCACCGGGTGGTGAAATTATGTATGATGACTTGTCAATAACAAATCTGTGTTGATGAGTGGATATGCTGTGTGGACATTCATGAGACAAAACTACATTAAAATTTTATTTCCGAAATTTATTGCGCTCCAGTCTTCATGAAGCGTTCTTTTCTCGCGGTCCCTCTGTGCCATGGGCTCAGATTTGTATACTAGTACATATGCAGCAAGGTATGAGACGGAGAGAACCCCCCCCCCTGCTTTGTGTTGGTCATTGTCTCGCAGAAATCTGGGGAATTCCTTTCAGACATCTTGGGGGATGTGTTAAGTAGCAATAGTCTGGAATGTGTATAGAGATTGGACATGTTGGGGGGTACCCCTCGGTCTCATTTCTTGCTGGGTATACAGATTTGGCCACCGTTGTTGTCGTCAGCACCATTTCCGTTCGTGGCTGGTGTTACACATTCGATAGGTTTAAGAAACTTTCCCCCGAAAGAGGCCTCACGAACACAACAATTCAGTCTTCACTTTAGTATCTAAATGAGTCTTCGATGCACCCTTTTGAGTTCGGCTTCGTCCCTATTCAAAGGTCACGGTATGCTGCACAGTAGCCAAAAGAGAACCTTTATCCCTAAACACAATCATGAAGGCTCTCAGATCAGCTGCAATTCATGCTGCTCACCCGAAAACACTGGTTGGATAAAGGGAAGGGGCTTACATGGCCCGATAACACCATTTGCGCCGGGCGGAGGGGGTTTAACCCTGGTGGATCGTGTACTTCTCAGCCTGATTTTTTTTTCCTACTAGGAACATCCCGTCGCCCATATAGGTCTACTCAGGCCCAGTGCAAGCTCCAGTTTTTTGCCGTCGATATGGTCTGGCTGAAGAGGATTCGTTCCAAGTGGTGCACCTCCGTTGGAAACCTCCTACAGGCCAAGGGAAAAAAAGGCTATGCGGTCGTGCTCGAATACCCAGCCCAGCTCTTCAATGGACGGCCGAATCGTGAGTGATATACTGTACTAACAGGCCTCAATTTTTTTTTTTTTGTTATTTTTTTGCGTAAGGATATTTTAAGCTTTACGCGTCCCAGATTTAAATTTGCCCCGGAGCAGTTGGAAAATGCCACTCCCCTGTAAAAAGTTAAGGAAAAGGAACTGAATTTTTGTCCGTTTTTAAAAAATTAATGGCCGTTTCTTTTCCTTGCAAATGTGTTTTCAAACTTTCCAAATTACCCTCACCCCTAAGAAAAGTCATAAACGGTAGCGTAATTATAAAAACTCTAAGTTTTGCCCCCCCGCGAAAAATTGCCTTTCTCCGAAAAATGGGTTTAGGATCCAGCCTTGACCCCAGGAACATCGGAATTAGAATCGAGAGTTCTATGCTGTATTGTCCACGATGAGGAAGAATTCATGATGTACAAAATTCAAATTCAAAACTGCTTTGATATGCCTGTTAACGATAAATAGCGACCAATACTACTCGACTCAATGCGAAATTTCAGGCGGGCTGAAGTACTTTAATGGGCTCTTCCGCTCTAGCAAGGAAATGAAAAGGGGATATAAACAAAAACATTTGTATTATCGAAGAGAGAGCTCTGACCTATTTAAGTGACTTGAGTTCACTTTTCCCATCAAGGCAAAAGGACGTTCCATTTTTAAATCTCTGAACATATTTGAGACCTCCTGGAATGGGGTTTCCATGAAATGACAAAGAGTAATGATTGAGTCATAGAGCTTGTGGGCTTCGTCTGATCTGCTTTAAGAATCGCCAGCGAACGAGGAAGAAGAGGATGCATTCGAAGGAGAGTTGCACCCGCCCACCAGGCAGCTGCACACCGCCTTCGAGTACCTCCTCCTTCGCCTCTACCACCACAAGGACCTGGCCCTCCCCGTGAACGTCAAGGCCGGCATGTTTCCGCCGACTCAGCCCCCGTCCCCAACCGTGCCCTCTTCCCAGGCAAAGCCCACGCTTGCCGCCCAGGTACGACACTTCAAGCTTAGCAAACTGATCGTAGTCGTGGACAAGCTCATCGTCATGCAAGAGAAGCTGTTCCGACGTCTGGAGAAGCAGGCCAACTGGGCCGAGTGGGTCCAGGATAGCCTACAGCACTTGTTCCAAGTCCTCGAAAAGGTATTGGGTTGGTTCGTGGAGGGGATCAAAATAAGCGTAAAGGGTCTTATTGGATTCTCTCGGTCTAGTATCGAAATCCTAATTCTGTGGAAAAGATTTTTGTAACTGTTATTGAAACGATTAAAAGCAGTTTTTAGTACTCAAAAGCTGCTCGATTAGTTCTCACGAAGAGCAGTGTTTTGTTTTGGAATCCACGAGTTACTGCCACTTTTGTGCGATCTTGAAGAATGCTTGCTCATACGTGTTGTCAAACTGAGCCAAGAGGCTTGATCTAGCAAAAAAAATATAATTTTTTAGTGTCTGGCAATCCTACAAGGCTTGTGTTCAGCAACGCTTATATACGTACTTGCAAGTCTGTGCCAAAAACAAAAAAATCAACAACAGGTTAATTTTGTTCGCGGTTAATATATGGCGATTACGTCTACATGATAGTGCCGTCACTCAAATTTCGACAAAATGTTTTACAGAACCGCAGCAGCTTGAGAAGTAGTACACGCCGTGTGAGTGGAATTTCTTAATTATGCATTAATGAAGTCTGGAGAGTTATAAACATTAATGTAGCCATTTGTCTCTTCTCTCAGGAATGTGATAAAATACAACAGCTTTCCATGAACCTCTCCAGCGAGCGAGAGGACCGCTTCCAGATGGAGACCGACATCAACGCTCTCACTGACTCCCTCCAGGAGATCCTGACCAGCTTTGGCGCGCTCACCCAGGCCTGGACCGACGTGGTGGGCCACGTGGCCGCCAACGTGGTCGAAGTGCAGGCCGGCGGTGACGGGAACCCGTGGCCGGACGTGGACACGGTGACCGACCTGCGCCGGGGGCTCCCCGAGAGGTACACAGTGGACTACGTGGCCCTGTGTGCGGACCTGGCTTCTAAGGATGGTAAGGAGTGGAATTTCGATCCGGTTCAACTGGCAGTCGGCGCTGGCACCGCTGGTCTGGAAGGGGCCAAGTGTTTCTCCAGAGCAAGTGTCGGCACCCTTCAGGACAAGGACTATTAACACGGCTCTACCACTGTCTTCATTGGTGCCACATCGTTAATGGATGTTGTTCATGTACTGAATCAGAGATCTCAAAACTGTTGTCTTCACCAAAACAGGTTTTCTTTGAGTTTATACAAAGGACTTGATACCAGTATTTACTGCATTTTTTGTTTTTCAAATGACTTCTTTCATGTAAGGCACGTATACCACTTGATCATAATAACAGGCCTATACATGTAACAGCTGAATAATTCTCCAAAATGTACTGCCTATGGAATTTATTATTCCATAATTATTATTCCATATCAAAGTATTGATAAGGTGTAACTATGACTAAAATGTGGAGTTTTTCGATACCACACATGACAGGGCCGACGTATTTTTCTCAAATATAAAAAACATTATCATATTTGCGCTATTACGGTCACAACAGATTGTTTACATTTCGCGCATGAGTGGACGTCGAGTTTCCACACTAGTCTGGTGCTCGTCACGCATATAAGAAATGTAATAATGAGTAAACATTTCCGAGGCTTATTCCGACACCACACGTAACACAGTCTTATTACTTGATCATTTAAACGGTATAAATGTTCAAATTTATGAATGGCCTCATTAATTGCTGCGAGAATGCTGCGAAGCGAACTTTCCAGTACCTTGAAGCCCTGGGTTGGAACCAATTAACGACAGAACACAGACATTCAAACTCACTTACACACTTTAAATCATTCTTTTAACCTATATTCTACGATTTATTAACATATTTCAATTTTTTATTACCTAAATTAAAAAGCCCGATCCAAAGGTTTTTAATGCTCCTACTTTGATTTTTAAGTTGTTTGATTTCCTTTTGTCTTATTCCTATTTTCTCATAATTATTCTTATGTCTACCTATAATTTAAGAAATATTGCTACCAGTTTATTCAATGAATTTATGCTATTTCATATAATTTTTGGTTCATGTTTCATATTTTTCCTCAAATTTTGTTCTAACTGTTTAAATTATTTTGTATTTTGTTTTAATGTTTCAGGGCCCTTAAGAATAGCAGTTGTATAACATGTAAAGGTTCCCCTGTCGAAATAAAACAAACATATATATAATTAATCTACCTCACACAAAATAATAAACACGACTATTGACAGTTGTATTTTCAGTCGCTATTAATTCGGTGCCTTGTTAATAATTATTTCTAATACTGTACACTTACAGGAATATCTGTATTCTAATGATGATGGTTTGTGCAATTAATTCATGTAACAGTAATATGTGTGGAAGGAGAAATTAATTATTTTGAACGAGTGCTGTATTTACATACTATAGTGACATTAAAAAGCACTTAATTAAGACAATTATACTTTAATGAATATGTGATGAATATGCTTTTTAAAAGTTTTCTTGTTGAAGCTGTTTTCATTGTTTTTCCGGAAATCTTTTTCTACGTTCTACGAGAAATTCTGGAACTTTTTTTTTCAGATCCACCAGCTGAAACATTACCAGCCCCAAAGTTTTGAACCATTGCGTGCTTTCGCATCTGTAACGTAATTCACCTATGAAACTACTCGGCATCGATGTGTATGGTTAAGTAATCCGCACGAGCAATTGCTGCACTGGAACCTGTTAAACATAAAGCGACAGCGACAATCATCATGAGTGACCTTTCAAAGGTCCAAAATCAACAGGAGTGACTTTTCCACTCTCCAGAATTCAAAGAGAACCATTTGAGCAGCAACACTCCTCGCAAAGTTATGGTAAAATAACGTGGTTTGTTCCTTTTAAACACGGGCACAGAACCGATGAAGTGTCACCAAATAAAAGTTGTGACATATCTCACGTGGAAAGTACTATTCAAAGAGGCGCTCATCCATACCTCGCTACACGCCTCAGAGTTTGCGTGGGACTATACAATGCGATGTTGTTAGCAGTTCAGACGGTGAAACACGAACTTCTTCACCGCATTGCGAATAACGTCGTGCACAGGACACCGGCAACTATTATAAGCAACGTGGGAGGCAGAGGGCGTTGCTGAGAGGGAGAAAATGGGTAGAACCCCCCCCCCTTTGTTCCTCCGGGCATGTGCCCCATTGTGTGCAACTCTTGAATGCAATGCTCAAGATAAAGATTACATCACAAAATCTGTATCAAATTCAAACCGAATCTTTCATCAAAATGGCATATTTACATTTTTTTTAAAAATGTTTTCCTTGTCTAGTGATTTCTAGTGCAAATATTTTACTGTCGTTGGGAAATCCAAAACAGTCTTGACAATCGGCTTTAACTTTTGTGCTTATCACAAAAAGTGTGAGGGGATGATTCAGTAGCTAAATCCCACCACTTCAAAAAGTGGGGGATACATAGGCCTCATCCAACCGGGGTTTACGCCCACGATAGAGTGCACAGCGTTCTACAGACGACAAAATTGTGCAGCGTCGTGCCGTCGCCCGACAAAACAGCGCGAAGCCACTACGCAACATTACGACAGCTCCCTCCGTCGTGCCGTCGGGTCGCGTTGCCTCGTTATACCGTTGCGTCGTATGGGCGGGTCTTGTCGTCGTATCGTACCGTCGCGTCATCATGGTTTTTATAGAGCGTGACGCCATCACGTCCTACCGTCGTTCTGTCGCGTCCTGGTGGCATACGTCCGTCGTGTCGTGCCGTCGTGCCTTACTCTTTCTAAAAATGGCCGGTGATAATCACGGTCAGTAGACGGCGTACGTTGCAAGTTCTGGAAAAAATAATGTGCTTGTCTAGGGCCTGCAAGGCTGAAGGGCACGAGGCAATGGGTTGACATGACGACAGAACGGTACAACACGACGTCACGACGCGGTGGAGCCTTCGTAGCGTCGCGTTGTGGTTGCTGCGTCGTGGCGTCGGAAGGAATTTTGTCGTCTATAGAACACCGTAAGAGAGAAAAAGCCACGTGCTGGCTTACCTCCAGTTACTGCGTCTTCCCAACGTACATAACCTTCTGCTGTACTGCACAGTATGATAGGGTAGGCCTGAGATCGCTCCCAATCACAACCGTTCATTTCAAGGGAATCAACCACAATCAACCAGCCGTAGTCCCATGGACATGACCCATATTTGTGGTTGATGAAGAACCTCCGGTGTCTTCATAAAGAGAAAGAAGGAGTGATAATCATCACCGACAAAACGTCTTGGCCGGCGAATGATTCCTGCCAGAACACGCAATACCAAGAACAGCCTAGCAGCATCTAGTGACACGGTACAGTGCACTAATGTAAGCTCAATTAAAAGTGTACATTCAACAAAGTTCAGAGCTCAAATCGACACTACTGGTCTTTCTCTAATGAAAAAGAAATTATTGTCTTGTCCGTAGTCTTTCAATTCCTTTCCGATTTTGTTGGGTTTATCGATTTACTTTTGAAGGATTAATTTGGAGGATTTTGATTATCTATGAGGATCAGATCGCCACTTGTTCCTTTTTTCTAAATTTAATTGTTTATGAACGGGCAGACGATTAAACAGCCAGTATTTGTATAATCTTTGGTATGTCCCCAGCATGAAAAAGAAAGTGTTAACAGGAAAAATGGAGGAATCCGTCTAACAGGAGGACCTTCAAGTTTTGAAGTGTCAACATCACAGCCTATTTACCTTCACACGACTTGCAATCAAGCATCATGAGGCATCGCAGTTACATGTAATTACACCGCAAGTCACTATGTTGCAAGTCGAGTCACTAGCTGTTCTGGCAAACTCTGAAAAAGGCATTCCAATTGACCGACGGGCATCTTGAGGCTCCGAAATTTACCGAAATGCTGAGACTATTTTGCGCCATTTGAATACGACAGACGTTAGTTTCCCTACTCACTGAAAGAAGACGTCCCCTTCGATGCCGAAGAAATTGATTTCGGATGATGAGTTCAAGTCTTTCCACGGGCTTGAGATTAGGCGGTCCTTGGTGAACCAGTTGAGGATATCTGATCCGGTTCCGTCGAAAATCAACTCGGCTCTGCAGCCGATGAAATCGCACAGGGATAGCTTCACCTTATAGCACGACATACAACGTTAGAAAAAACCACAGACATGACAATGGTACACCGAGCGCGCTTCAAGTCAAGTTAGGGGTAATTTAAGTTGCCACTTTGTCTGCAATATAGGATGGTGTCTTTCACTCTCTTGAGTTTAAGTCAAACTTCATTTGCCAAGTCGGCAGAGTTTGTGCCGCACCATTTGTAGTAAGTCTCTCCATTAAAATCGAGTCATGCCAAATAAAACCTTTTTGGAGAACCCCCCAACCCCCCCCAAAAAAAAAACCAGACTGAAAAGGGAAACATAAAATAAAACAAGGATCATTTTGGCTGGCTTGCTTGGCAGAATAAAACAACACAAAACACTTGAAAGAAAAAATTAACAAATAAATCCTTGGTTGCTTTCTAGTTCGTTCGGTTTGGCACTTTCTTCTTTCACCCCTTAGCACCCAAGTTTAGACGGAGAAAACCCCGATTCTGATCAACGGTTGAGCTTACTTTTCACCCAAGAAAAGCAGGCTCAAACACGGCCAATGCCATACCGAAGTCCAGAAACCCTGGCCCAGGATGACGCAGTCTGCATACTCACCCACCTCACGGCCAAGGCTCCGCTTCTCCACGCCTCGTGCAACGAGTCATCGCGGCAACTACCAGCGGTTGCCATCACGCCTGGGTCCCCACACGCAGCAGTCCACATGTCGGACAGCTTCATGCCTCTCCCCGCGACGCCTCTGAATACCAGCCGCCATCCGGGGACTTTGGGTATAAACGACGAAATGTACAGTCACATAGAGGTAAATACCTGTCAACACTCGTTTTGCACCGTTTCCATTTTCCCCTTGCACCTTGCTTGGCACGTGATTTCAAGAAAGAACAACGCAACTCCAACCTAACGTTATACGAATAGTGTGATTTCCCTATTAAGTGATTTCCAAATTAAATTCAAACTGAGTTAAATAAATTTTTAAATAAAAACAAAAATGGAACAAAGGATTCATATTTGCTACGAAATCGAAACTCTTTTTCAAAAACAGAGCACAGAATCTTTTGTTTTAATTTATGCGCAGCTGTTTTTCTCCAAACGTGCATAGCTTCAGCTGGATAAGGAGTATTACTCTAATTCAAGGTTTTGAGCTACTTTGTTCTTACTTCTGATAAAACAAAAAACAAAAATAAAAAAAAAGTGGATTGAAATATTTTCAATTATTTACTAAAAACATAATATTAGTCTTTACAATAATTGTAATAAAAAACAATGGTAAAGTTTTTAAAATATTTTGACGGAATAATTTCGAAAAAATCTCCAAGCTTAAGTTAATTTATTTCTTCAAACATACAGCTGCAGCTGGATTTTTAATAATCTGGCAAATCCCAATGATTTTTCAAGGTATATGAGCTCTATCGAACCAATGAAAAATTCAAACGCGAATTTTCTAACCAAAAGAACTGCACCTTGCAAGTGCTTTACACCAACAAAAATATGAACCTCTTTATGTCACTGCGCGTCCACAGTGCTAAATTGGATTTATAGTTCTTTATTCCGTCGCCACCAAATAGAGGAGATTGACAGAATTTGAAACACATTCCAAAATCTAAAAGCTGACTTTCACATACTGTTTTTAATGATACTGCATTTTGCCAAAATTCACAATCCTTCGTGGTACCATACGTACGGTAGAGAAGGGTTTGGAATATTATTTTATGAAATTGGTGCTAACTACCTGTAGCTGTACGAGGACAAACAAATATTAATAGCCTGATTTGTCACGAGTGACCGTTAACAAAAACGCCACCAACAGCAAAAGTGTCAGGCCAAGTCTCGATAAAACAAGATAACTCTTTTGGATTGATTTATGTCTTCGACTCAGTCTTACTCCTGCCAAAAATTTTGGACTTGACCATCTTTTGGACTGGCTCATCTTTTAAACAATGGACCATGATTACAGAACAGTTTGGTGGAATCAGGGAGGAATCTGGGAAGTCTTTCAGCCGTCATCATGACTAATCTTACCAGCATCGAAGTATGTGCATGTGTTGTCACACGGTGAGTGGCGAGGCGTTTCCTCATCTTCATCGAAGTACACCCTCCCCTGGGCTGCAGTGAAGTTTCTAGGATGTTCTCGTCTTGTGGCAAGGTTCAACTCGCACGTTTTGTTGCAGTCGTTGAAGTTAAAAGACTTGCAACGTCCATCCAGGCTACAAGCGCGTTCGCAGGTGACACGAGAGCGTACAGTTGTATGGGCGTACGTAAACCCCTGCAGTACACAATTTTCCGCAGCGTACTTGGTTTTTGAGAGTGGATTACATTGATCACCAAACACGAAAATGACCATTCCACCAAAAATTATCAGCCCCAAAACTTCGACACCAGCATCGAGTCTCGTCATTGTCGAACTTCTGACTTCACTGACTTATTGAATTTCGCTGAATGTTCCGTTCTCAATCATGAAATCTAAGCCCTACCAAGGAATTGGTATCAAGCAACGAGCACGCGTTGCCTTGCTGGTGTTACTAGTTGACAGTCTGCTGCAGTGTGGAAGATCGTGGGTGAAGCGCTGACGTAATCCTGCCCATGATTTACATGTATAGTCTCTAGTCGTGGCGTGTGGCACCCCAAATATTAGTGCAGGGATACAAAACATGAAGACAAGGCAATAGAGGGATTTCACATTAACGCCGTCTGCGCATATCTGCATCGAAACCGAGGCTCTCTGTGTTGAACTTCGTCGCGCGCGCCCGCGGAGTCCACACAGTACATGCAGTATCCGGTTCGTAAGTGTGACGCCACTTCGGTTTAAACCACGCCCACTGCATAAGATACACAACCATCGCTGGTACGTTAGTTCGCAGTCAATTGTCGTTATTTTTTCTTTTGATTTTACGTGTCAAGTCATCCTAAAAGACTCTTCCACAAAAATTTGCAGCCTGAAAAGTCTGAATTTAACATACTTTTATGTATTTTGTGTCTTGACTCCTTACTTTCAATCGTCTGATCGTATTAAGAATTGAAGCTGACACATACAGCCTCGTTTTCAAACGTGGATGTGCGCAGATCGACACTAAAAGCGTCGTATTGGGATCCATCTATTAATTAAGTACGAGTAGCGAAGCAACGAGCGCCCTGACTGGTGAAGGCTTACGTCTTTACATTTCTCTATACAAATTGGTACAGAAAATTCATGTATAATGCATAACATTTTGTGGATAATGACCACTAAAATGCAACATTACTCGCATAGACGTAGAATAACTGATGTCATACGCGCTCACGAGGAAGGCTCTTGAAAACCAATTAACATCCTTCACCGGATCATTGGGACAATACTTCCTTTTGCCCACGGAGTGATGATAGTCAATCAGTCTTTACACACGGTCGACTGCTGATCGCTAAACTAAAGCAGTAGTATTTGAATTTTTTAGTACCACGCCGTATAGACAAGTTCACTAATAAATTCTCATTTTGGGGCATAAAAGGCAAGCGCAGGCCACGAGCTTGAGCGGCCCATTGAAAATGTGCAGGGAAAGAAACTCATTGGTCATTTTCTTTCACCTTTTGGACTTTTTCACCTTTGTCTTCAGGCAACCCTTTATTTTTAATTTGTCTGCAGTATAAATGAAATTTGTTTGGTCTTTGTTGCTTTTTAACTTGCTTTTGCCCAACGTATATCCGTAACACTATGCTCAGTATTTGTCCAATATCTTGCCAAAAAATCACAAGGGAATAATCGGGTTTTTGTTTGAAACCCGGCTGTTTCCGCGTAAAATGTCTTTTAGGTAGCAATACCACCGTTTTAAGCTAAAGTGATATTCCAGGTTGAATATTGTGTCTGAGCAGCTATTTTGTTGACAATCGGCGCTGCATACGTTACCAAGCGATGTTGTGGTTTTTCTCACAAGGCTTCGGCAGCAAACACTGAGTATACAGTGTTTTAATACACGTCAGGCAGGGTAAAATTCCAAATTTAAATGATAATAATGTTGATATTAATAGTCAGGTTATTATTTCAAACAAACTCTGCTGATAAAGTTAGACACAATGACATATTTGGGTATTAATAATTAAACACAAACACAGGTTTTTAGGTGGTTACACTTTCCGAACACAGTAACAAGATTCTTTCCAAAAAAGGTATTTAAATTTAATGGCTTTTACGTTCACAATAAACGCATAAAAGAGCGTTGGTTTTTATATTGCAAACAGTAGAAATTAACATAATGGGTATAGTCTCTTTCAGTTGATATGGAAACCCGGCTTTACTCACACAACCATTAGCGAATGGCTATTATTAATCACAAGAGTAATCTGTATGTAGCGGAAGGGTTTCAGCAACAAATAAGTTTNGAGGAAGGCTCTTGAAAACCAATTAACATCCTTCACCGGATCATTGGAACAATACTTCCTTTTGCCCACGGAGTGATGATAATCAATCAGTCTTTGCACACGGTCGACTGCTGATCGCTAAACTAAAGCAGTAGTATTTAAATTTTTTTAGTAGCCACACCGTATAGACAGGTTCACTAATAAATTCTCATTTTGGGGCACACACGCATAAAAGGCAAGCGCAGGCCACAAGCTTGAGTGGCCCGTTGAAAATGTGCAGGGAAAGAAACTCATTGGTCATTTTCTTTCACCTTTTGGACTTTTTCACCTTTGTCTTCAGGCAACCCTTTAATTTTAATTTGTCTGCAGCATAAATAAATTTTTTTTTGTTCTTTGTTGCTTTATAACCTGCCTTTGCCCAACGTATATCCGTAACACTATGCTCAGTGTTTGTCCAATATCTTGCATAAAATTCACAAAGGAATAATCGGGTTTTTAACAAATTGCTTGAAACCCGGCTGTTTCCGCGTAAAATGTCTTTTAGGTAGCAATACCACCGTTTTAAGTTAAAGTGATACTCAAGGTTGAATTTTGTGTCCGTGCAGCTATTTTGTTGACAATCGGCGCTGCATACGTTACCAAGCGAGAGAGACATCACATCGTTGTACGCTGGTCATGCCTATGTAGGTTGCCTGTACTCTGGCGAAACAGCACGCACTGTAAAAGCAAGTGTTTTAAACACCCTCTTCGTAAAATAATCCAAAGCTAAACAGGTTGTGGTGCTTATTGATTTGATAGAAACCAGACTTTATTCATACACAATCATCAGTTTGATCTTTTCTTATGTTAGTTTTAATATTATACGGTGCTATTGAATGTTGCAATAGAATTGGCGCTCAAGAGATGAGAGGGAATATTTCCAAGGATAGATTTGCGCCGGGGAGATGTTAATTTTCGATATTTGCCATGCGCGACGTGTATTATAACACTGTATATTCAGTGTTTGCCCCCAAAGGCTTGTGGGAAAAGACCACAAGCTTACTCGGGTGGAACTCGAACCCACGACCTCCTACGGGTGCAGACGTCTTAACCACTCGGCTACCGAGCTTGCTGGTGTCGGCATGGCTGGCTTAAGTCAGATGTAACAGTGGGTACCACGGACAACTATATCCAAGGACGGATTTGCGTCGGGGAGATGTTGTGGTTTTTCTCACAAGGCTTCAGAAGCAAACACTGAGTATACAGTGTTTTAATACACGTCGGGCAGGGCAAAATTCCAAAATTAAATGATAATAATGTTGATATTAATAGTCAGGTTATTATTTCAAACAAACTCTGCTGATAAAGTTAGACACAATAACATATTTGGGTGTTAATAAGTAAACACAAACACAGGTTTTTTAGGTGGTTACACTTTCCGAACACAGTAACAAGATTCTTTCCAAAAAAGGTATTTAAATTTAATGGCTTTTACGTTCACAATAAACGCATAAAAGAGCGTTGGTTTTTATATCGCAAACAGTAGAAATTAACATAATGGGTATTGTCTCTTTCAGTTGATATGGAAACTCTGCTGATAAAGTTAGACACAATGACATATTTGGGTGTTAATAAGTAAACACAAACACAGGTTTTTTAGGTGGTTACACTTTCCGAACACAGTAACAAGATTCTTTCCAAAAAAGGTATTTAAATTTAATGGCTTTACGTTCACAATAAACGCATAAAAGAGCGTTGGTTTTTATATTGCAAACAGTAGAAATTAACATAATGGGTATTGTCTCTTTCAGTTGATATGGAAACCCGGCTTTACTCACACAACCATTAGCGAATGGCTATTATTAATTACAAGAGTAATCTATAGTCTGGAACGATGCAACAGGTAGCTGACTTGAAATTGTGTGTGCCCGCTGTCGGGTTTAATGTTCATGAGTACCCGGGCTGTGCGAGGTTTATAAGATTCATTCAGTTAATGTTTGCACAATGTGTCTAGCCATTAGATTTTGCATCCATAGCTTTCATACTCCTTTGAGGCTTTGCAGTATAAATGATAGATTCCATATTCAAGGCGCATGAAAATTAACGATGCCGAGGGAAATTCTAGCTTCACCTACAGAATTGCTTTGATGATGGACTAGTCCTAGCGCTCTTTTTTTAACGCTTATTTTACATGCCGTGAGACAGTTTTTATTTACGGTATTGTATGCAATGTGTGCATCAATCCTTTCGCAAAAGCGGACAGTGGATTTTCAATCGTCGCTCTCAAACTTAACCCTTTGCCGGGTAGACGGAGACAACGCCCTCTTTGTTGCGTATACCTCAGTGAGACCATAAAGGTTATTAAATTACAGCCAGATTACAATTAACTAAAGTCTGTGGT